TTAGAACTGAAGAAGCTTCTCGGATGAGAGGTGAAACGTCTTCAAGTAACTTAAAGAAGTCCAGACGCTTTTCTTTGCAAGCTCCTTTGACGAGAGGTCCATTAGCATCCACTAAGCTGTTTGGTAGATTTTGTAGGCATGCTTTTCATGTTTTTCCGTTTACGCGTTCCCCACATGGCACTTTTACGAAGGCTAAATAAAGGGATACTTTTTTAATGGTTAAAAAACGTTTTCCCCAAACAAACAAGCCTAAACGAACGCATACGTTTCTGCGACAGCCTTAAAGTATTTAATCAAACATCTGGAACCGATATGAGCTTTACTAGAATGTGATATAAATTGCACATGTTTTATGGACGTGTTTACAGCATAGGTCTCCACAGACAGTAAGTACACATGGGAGCAGTGCAAAGCCGTCTGTACTACACTGTTGACTTTTTGGTGAAGTTCATGCTGCAGCCTAATGTTGCTGAGCTCAGATGTCATCCATTGATCCATTTCTTTTTTTGCATTCAGTTGTGCACGCAGGCGCGATTCTAACCTCATTGAGTACTGAACAGCTGGTTTATTTGACAGATTGCTGGCGAGATAGCAGCCGTACAGTCATTTAGGGAGTAGGAAAGTCCGGACAGTTGACCCATCGTCTGCTCGTTTTTCATTAAAACAAATTGGCGCAGGTTGTGTCGGTTTATCACACCTACCTGTCGCGCGTAAAGAAACACGGCTTTCAAAAGCTTTGCCTCTTCACTGTGTTAGTCACGACTCCACGGCGCTACGACTGCATTATTATGGACTGTGATGAAGTCGAGTCTGTCTGTCGGCGATGTGTGCAGAGAGTTTCATTCTCTGTGTGTCCACTTGGTGTCTCCCTTCGTGTCCCGCTCTGTAGTTTTCACACGCAATCAATCCTCAGCAATGCATGATTTTTATCCTTGAAATCAAACTGAAAAGATGAAGTTTTAAATTGATTAATTAATGACTCATTGACCAAAGGATTGATTAACTGCAGTCCCTTCCAAAATCCATGAGTACTTGAGTACTCTGTAGAACAAGGTGTGGATTGTTTGAAAAACTGTCTGAAGTGAGCCATTAGATGACTGCAGGGAGAAAAGTGGATTGACACTCTTAAACCCTCATCATCATCATCAGCCCTTGTTAGTGTCAGCTCATCCACAGGAATTTTCCACTGTGTGTGAATGTGAGTTTGTGGTCAGGGGGAAGGATCACCTTTGGGAAATCCTTCAAGAGAATCAATAAGAAGGCCAAAATTGTAAATAGAAATGGAAACTACACTTTTTTGGCCTTTCTTTGTTTTTCTTTTTCTTTTTTCCCTCTATAACTGCAGACAGGTTGGTGCTTCTGTGTATATGTTTCTGGGGAAGATTGCAACAGTTTCTATTCACTCACTGTCTCACTCCTTCCAACAGTTTATCACTCTGTTAAATTGGTTGTTGATCTCTTACCACTATTTTTCTTAAAATGGCAGATTTGTGGGCTAATCACTTCTTAATCTAGAGATAAAGATGTTATCAGCAGTGCATGGCGTTTTTTTTCCCCATTCTGTGCTGGGACTTCAGTGTATCATTAGGCAGCCTAACGCACAGTATGTGTGTTAGGCTGCCTAATGCAGTGGATGACTTAGGAGGAGGGATTGCTCATCCATGCTGTATTTTGTCCACTCAGCTTAGGGAAGAATCCCCTCAGCGAGTCATGTCATAGCTCGCTGTTGCAGTATGAAAACCACACCAGACAGGGTCAGCGTACAGATGTCAGCATACAAATCCCCCTTCAGCACAGCCACCTTCAAATGTTCCACACAGGAGAAAATCCTGACCTGTCAGATGCCTTTCAAAAGCCCCCTCTCCTAATGAAAATCTAAACAAGCTACTGAGAACTTTTAATGTGAAAAGCCAAAGAAAATGGTGCTGTTTCCTAGGAAACCCGGTCCAGTTTCCACAGATGTAAACAGCCCGAGGAGTAGAATAAAAGTTGTCAGGGCTGCAGTAAAAATCTCAGCATTCATGACTCATTTTCAGAAAGCGGATCTCTCCCTCCGCTGATAAGACACTGAGTCACACAACTCCACACACATACACACACAGTGACACACAAACACAAACACATCCCGACTAACCACAGCCAGCTGTGTGTGTGGATGAGTGTGATGATGCTTTATTAGCAACTAGAGGATGGAAGGGTTGGAGACACAGACACCACAAACATGGATGTGAGCACACTGTTGCACACGTGCATTCAGATACACACACACACACACACACACACACACACACACACACACACACACACACACACTGGTTAATGTTGAAGCTGTAGAATTGTTTCTGAAGAGAGGCAGACACACGTCCTTGTCTGGGATAATGTAAATCGCTCAGCTTATGCAACAGTCACCGTCTTTCCCACATTTATGTAGTTGGAGCCCTGTTTGCCTACTGTGGCCCACCAGCAACAGCTGTTATACACATTTCCTCCTCCAGTGTGTGTGTCTGTGTGTGACCATGTGTGCCTGGATGACCTCCAGCGGTAAACAGTGGTTCCCCCAGCCTGTCACCAGATCTCGGACCCCTACTGGGATCTCAGTCCACTTGCCAGTCAGTTTCTTTAAGCTATGCTGCACACCTGGATGCGGTGAGGGTGCTGAGAGACATTTTGTTTTTGTTTTTTCTGCACATGTGTGTATGTACGAGCGCACATGCATGCACATTTTGTTGGTTTTGGGAGTCTACTACAGTATTTTTGTCTCCAAAACCACAACGTGTGTGTGTTCTTGTGTTTCAGAGAGATAGAGGCTCGCTGAGATCTAAGTGCTTTAGCAGACTCCTGCTTGTGCCCTCCTACTGTAAACAGTTGTGTGTCACTATTGAACAATATGTTAAGGCATGCCTCCTATGGTTAAATGCAAATAATTACATTTATTAATACTACTTTTTTGTCAGGGTTGAGACAGGTGTCCAATGTATCTGTAAATTGAGATTTGTGGATTTATTATATGCTGGAACATGCATTCTCATGTTGTGACTTGTTAGACTGTTTGTCCATCAGGGACCTAAACGTAGGAACGGACTACCTCTAGAAGCAATTTGAGCCTCTGCAGTTACCTTGGCAACACCTCTAGGTAGTTATTTGGGGTTAATGAGGCCAAGGCTCTATCTAAATGAATGGAGAGAGAATTATATCTTTAATGTTAATGGTAAAAAAAAAAAAAAGAAGAAGAAGTTTCTGGCTTTATTTATGACTCAGTTCATGGTGCCAATATGATCAACATCTCTGCCTTAGCCAGCAATCACATTTGATTGATTGATCATAGTATGGATACAGTTAGTGAGGAATAACTATGAGAAAAAGAGTTAAATAGTCTGTCCAATACCACGTGATTGTTGCCTCTCTCTGACATCCTTCTCTTCTCTTCTTCCAGGAGAGCCCTATTGCTCTGTACCATTTTATATTGTACTTGTTACCTGGGACTTACACAAGTACCCTCTGAAGGTAAGCTTTCCATACTCACCTCCACGTACTGCACTTTCTGACCTCTTTTGTTTGTGCTGAAAAAAACCCCAACTCTGTAAGACTGTAAGGAACACTGGTGAGGTTTTGCAGTTATTCTTTGCCTTTTTGGTCAAGGCCCAAGCACATAAACACTTTGCTAAGAGAATTGGGCCAGCCGTTGCCATAACAACAGGTGTTGAGTAAGCTAAGTCCAAGGATCTAGGGAGTGATCAGCTCAACCATTCAACAATCCAATGTTGACCATTAATCAAAAAAAAAAGAAAAGTAAAATCTCATGTCAGTCAGAGGTTAAAGTCAAAATTTTGTCTGGACAGCTGCACTGCTGAAGACCCCACTTAGCAAAGCATTTGTAAAGGCTAATATTCTTCACAAGGGCAAAAGGGAAAAGTTTGACGATGTGAAACGTGTACTAGAATTCAGAGATGCCTAAACCAGGAGCTTGCCTCCACTTTGCAGAACATTTTATACAGTTAAGTTAATTCAGTTTTATTCATACTTTAATCATATAGCACCTGTTTACAAAGCATTTAGCGAGATGCGCCTTATTATTGTGCTCAGCTCTTCTGCAGACATGTTTCATCTACCGTAGACATCCTTCTCTGCAGCAAACAGCAGACTGAACAGTTACAGGCTTGCTGGTCAATACAGTCAAGCATTTAGCAGCTATCTAAGCCACTGGTATTGATCAAAAAGACTGCATAAGGACAGATAAAGGCAGAGTCATTATCCAGTAATGTTTCTCCATAAATGCAGGATGTTGAAACATTTTCAGCTGATTGCTAACAGGCTTGCCTTTAACCGAGATGTTAAGTCAGTGTTACATTCACAATTTTGCATCCAAGTAGCCTTAAAAATCAGTTATTGCAGATTTATTTGAAAACGTCGAGTGTATTTCTGTTTCATCTTCTTTTGGTACCATTTGGAAGTTTCCTCTGATGAAGAGTTATTGATACAGTCCAGTGAACTGCCCCCCTGCTCTAGTCATTATGATTGAGGCTGACAGCACACAGACTTCAGTAGGCCCGACAAAGCAGTGACTGAAAACTGATGGTCGACAAAACCAAATGTCATTTCAGTTCATTACATCAAGGCTCTTCCACAGTCACAGCTCTGCAAATAAGCCTTTGAAAAGCTGACACCTGTTCTTTAAAGTGTCCGGTGTTAACAATTAATGTAACATAACAAGTCTTGGTGGCGATAATTCACCAGAGGTGTAAAATTTAGTAGTCAGACCTAATAAAGTTAGTTGGACATGTTTGGCTCCTTTTTGAAAGCTGAGTTTAGTTTTTAGGCTCCGTTTCAGCCACTAATTAGCCTTTTTATTCAGTAAAGAGTCTCTGTATTGAACTGTGAAATGCAATGAACTGTGAAAGGATGAACAACAAAACGAGGAATGTTCAGCAATACGTTCTTGCTGATCAGCCTGTGAGCAACTCACTGTCCCCTGGCACACGGATACCTCAGTGCAGCCTAAGACTTCTTTTGGAGGCCAGAGTCAAGGATTAAGTTGTATATTGAACACTGATATGATTTTATTAGGAAAAAATTTAGCATTTTTTTCTGCAGTGGAACAAATTTTAAATGTAAAAGGGGAACAGCCAGGTAATGATTATGGTGAACAACATCCGCATTTGAACGTCATCCCTCACTTTCATTCTTGAGTTTCCAAATCATATGACTCCCCATTCAGCTCTCCATCCTTGTCTGTGTGTCTCTCCTGAAACATTCAAATAAAGGTAAATTGCCAGAAGGTTGAGGAAAAACAGGAAAATTCCAGATAAACCATGTTTTACCATGTTCTGTCCCTTATCTAAGCATTGATCATAAGACGAAGACTTAGTTTTACGTTTTAAACATATTCAGTAGTCTAATAAGTGACGATTTCAAATATGATATTCAGGGAATTCAGGCAATATATTGCTTTGTTGGTGATTGGGGATGATGAGGAAATATCATAAACTATTGTAAACTAGCTCAGACCGGCCAGAAAGGGATTATTTCAGTATAAATCAGTGACTTCATCCTCTACAAGGGATACGATCAGAGAAAAGAGCCTTGGACTTTCACTCTATCCTGTTTGACTAAATTGGCACATTGCAAGACTATAAACTCTGGCCATGTGTTAAACATGCATCTGCTCAGACACTTACAGTATACTTTATATCTGACACTGTGCTGTTAATTTATGCCTCTGTAACAGTAGAATAGAAGAATAGGAGACAATGTACAGAACAAATAGAGGTAATGTACCCGCCTGCCTCATTGCCAAGTTCCTGTTGTCCTTTAATGCATCAGAGACCACACAGAGAGCAATATACACCATGCACAGTGTGAATAGTATTCCTGTTTTATAAAGCTCTAATGGTTTGAACTAAAGGGAAGTCTTACAGCCTTATACATAGCACATAAGGACCATAAAGAACTTAAAGCAATCAGCGGAGAAAGAGTCGTTTAACTCAAGGTTCTGTTTTGAGTTTGCATATGTTTAATGTCAAAGTTTTCTAAACCTCTTTTTCTCTCAGCTCAAATATTCCTTCAAACTTTCCCTGCAATTATATGTATTTTCAAAGTCTGGGGCCCAACAGTTTAATAAAGCAAGCCTTGTATTATAGAAAGACAAGCATGTCATTCAAGTCCTCACTCTCTATAGTTTACCAGTGCAGCACATCCCAGCTGTCTTTCCCACTTTTTCGGGTATCTCATCAACACTGCTTTTCCATGGATTCTATACACATGTCCCCATTAGACAGGCCCCAGTGACCACAGGTCAGAGTGAGCCCACAGACAATAAAAATGGTGAGGGGCCTAGGTCTGAGATCACAGGTCATGGAGAGAATGAGGGCTGTGGGACTACTGAGACTGAAACTCTGAACAGAGAGTCAAAGTTGGCTGAAAGGTTGGAAACTGTGCTCCGAGCTCTCGAGTTGAGAGATGTTGTACTCACTTGTGGTTTCTGTGGCCATGTTCTGAATGTCCACGCTGACTACATACTGATGAGAAGGACAGAGACGAGATGGGAAAGAGGTTACATGATGACGCTGATGTCATTTAGTTCATTCCCTCGCAAATTAAAGGCTTAAAAACAAAGAGACACAAAGAAACGTGTCTATCAGTATAGCGAACATTGTCAGCACGTGAAAATTAGCTTACAGTACAGCATGCATGCATTAATATGAACAGAGATGAATAAAATTCTGCCACCAGATGAATAAAATGTGTGCCTCAAACACACATTTGCAACAAACACATATTTGTCAGCATTACAAAGCATGCGGTGACCTCGCTTTTGCTTTTCAAGTACGTTGGCCAGGTGGCTACTAAGAAAGGATTAGGTCCTCTAGTCTGCTTGTACGTTCCTGGTACTGGCTGGATGCTTTAGCCTTGACTCACCTGCAGTGAGTGCAATGCTTAATTGGTTTAGCATTCTATTTCTTATGACCATATATCCATTCTTTTCTGCTCTATATAACCAAAATTTCATTTGAGGTTTATGGGGTCCAGGGGAAAGACAAAATTAGGATAATAGGCATACACTGGGAGAGGTGTTTTGGTTTAACTGAAACACATTTGGATTGTCTTATCAAAGGATTTCTAATAATTCCTGTTGAACGTTTGAGCTTTTAAACTCTAATCACAGTAAGCTGAGATGAATCTCTATGAGTTTTAGTGTTATAGGGTTCAGTAAGGTTTTAGATTACTGGCAAAGATCAACATTATATTTCACTGTGAGTGCAGTACAGAATGTGGTGTACACACTCTTTCCTATGTGCGACACTTTAAGCTGTTCAAGGCATCACAAAAGCCAGACATATTGGAGCAATGTGAATTAGCAACGCCACTGACATTTGAAGTAGACCTCTGTGCTGTTCAGCAACATAAGAAACAAGATTGCTGCATACTCCTGCCTGTCTGGACATAAATTTATTTTGGCCTAAAGTTGCTATAAAACATCTACAGAAGCACTTAGATGTGCTCAAAGTCTGCTGAGTTCATTATTGTTTTGAATTTTTCTTTCTTTTTGCCTGTCTCTTCACCCTTCAGTGTTTAAGCTACAGTATTTTGTGAACTGCCCCAATATGGACATGATGCAAGCCTCTCGTAGCATAGGAGTCTTTAGTGAAAAAGAACTTTGAAAAAGTGAAATGTTTTGCACCAAATTCTTATGCAAGAACTCAAATTGTCTCATTGAGATTTAAATAATTTTTCCACAATCATTTAAAACATGTTACAGTTTGGGCACAAATTACAGTAAAAGTTTAAAACTAGTCCAGATCTCAGTGTGTTCTCTTGTAGTTCTTGCGTGATGTTTGATTTATATTTCTAAAGTTTCCTATGTTGTTTATTTTATCTTGTTCCTGATGATTACCAGGTACCAAAAATATGAGATAATAATAACCATAAACATCACAAACAAGCATGTTGTAAACACTGCTTATCTAACACAGCCCTTTTCCTCCTCTACAGATGTGGACATTCTCCAAAAGTTGGGGCTTAAGGGAGAGAGGACATCACGCAGTCTGCCGGCAGGAGTCATTCCGTTCAGATCGGGGATCATCCTCAACCAGCGGGCGCATATTGAAGCTCCATTGCGATCAATCTTTCCTCCAGCCATCTGGCCTAACCTCACGCTGATCCTGAGTGTACGCTCTCACCGTATCAACAGCGCTTTCCTTTTCACCCTGCTCTCAGACCACAACAAGCTGCTTCTTGGTCTACAGCTTGTACCGGGAAACCTGGTCCTACACACGGGACCAAATACCTCTGTGGCACTGCCCTATGAGCCCCACGATGGCCAGTGGCACCAGCTGGGTCTGGGAATTAATGGACAAAGAGTGACTCTATATGCCTCCTGCGGAGGGCAGAGTATTCATGCAGACTTTGGGTGGGACAGTGAAAAGGGGCTGGCTCCAGAGCTCCATGGCTCGCTGCTGCTGGGGAGGACAAGCCAGCAGCAAACTTCAGCACACTTTGAAGGAGCCATTTGCCAGTTTGATCTGGTCCCTTCTGCACAGGCAGCTCACAACTATTGCAGGTACATTAAGAAACAGTGCAGGGAAGCTGACACGTACAGGCCTAACCTTTCTCCTTTGCTGCCTATCGTACCGAGAGAAAGAAACATCACAGCTACTGTTGCTACCCCTAAACGTGGTAGCCCAGTAAGCGCCAGGAAAACCACAGGGTTCAGCCTTGCCAGGAGCGCTGCAGCTGCAGCCTCAGCTGTCAGACATGTGGCCCCCACCCAAACGATAAAACCGAACCAAGGGACCATCATCCCAATGACCCTGTTGGGAACTGTGATACCAGTTACAGACCAAGTTGGTTTGGTTTCACCACCTCTCAAGACCAGAACCAGCACTGTCACAACACCACTCAGGACAGGAGCACCACCCACGAAACCATCAACAGCAAGACCCTCCAGTCCTAAAGCTTTTAATCAGAAACCCTCTAAACCTACTCCATCAAAATCCACTTCATCAAAACCCACTCCCCCAAAACCCACTTCATCAAAACACAGTCCACCAAAACCCACTTCATCAAAACACAGTCCACCAAAACCCAGTCCCTCTAAACCCATTTCATCAAAACACAGTCCACCAAAACCCAGTCCCTCTAAACCCACTCCATCAAAACCCAGTCTGATAAAACCCAGTCCCTCAAAACCCACACTCTCTAAACCCACTCTGTCAAGACCCACCCCTCAAAACAACCCAAAAAATGCAAGTGCGGGAACAAGCAATTCAAAGAAACCTACGATACCAGTCAGTACCAGCACCAAACCCTCCAAGACAAAGCCTAAACCTGCATTATTAGACCAAGGTGCAGTCCCAAAGAAACCCCAACCCACCAGAGCCAGTAAAACTCCTCCCAAGTCTAAAGTTACATCATCGAAAGCCACTCCGTCCAAACCCAAACCAGATTCTCTAAAAGATGCTCCTTTTAAACCAACAACATCAAAGATCAACCGCTCAAAATCAGCCACCCCCAAACCTACAGCTGCTAAAACCCCTAAGCCAACAAAGCAACCAATGACCACCAAGGCTCCAGTCACCCCAAGACCTACTAAGCCTTCATACAACCCAGTTACACCACCTGCTACTGATGGCTTCCAGAGCTGGGAGGTGCCACCTACGCAGTTCTCCATGCTGGTAGAAGCTAAGGGAGAGAAAGGAGATATAGGATCGCAGGTAAGAACTTTTGGTCAACCTGAGCCGTTTAGTGAGACTGGTTGTGTGCAAATGCTACAAGAAAAAAAAATCTATATCAGCACTGGTGTTTTGCAAAATCAAGGTGAGCAAGCAGTGCACAGACTATGTCTCATCTCTGTGCCTGCAGCTGTGTGTGGCAAGTTTAGATTAGTAAAGCAATAAAAGTGAATGGAGCTTTTCTTTTAGCTCATCCCAGTCTGCCTTGGTCTTTGTCACTGGTAACAAAGACCAGTGCAGTTTTGATTTTGGTGTTTTTGGGTTAGAATAAGACCACACAGATATTTAGGTTAATATGGAACAGTCTCCTTTGCCACAGAGGTTTGAAGCCCTGCTATATTTCTCTAATTCTTTTCACCTTACTCCATGCACAGAGCCTTCCAGTCTGGCTGTGACATGTCACGTTTGACGCCTTGCCGCCTCAGCACCAGATTCCTCTTTCAGAGAGTTCTGTTGGAGGTTGCATGGTCTCGTTTCAAAGCCAGGTCCAGGTCAAAGGTTAAAGCAGTCAGCAAACATTCAGCTTCCCAATACAGGCGTTAAGTTAGGCGAGGCCCTCCTTCAGCATCAGAACACGTCTCAGAAAATGTGCTTGTCTCCACGAAGCAGAGAATACCTTTGTGTACACAACTGTCTACACAGTTTCCCAACTCAAAATGTGGTCAGAATGATCAGACCACAATGTCTCTGTCAGTGTCTCTTGGGTGTGTTCATACTTGTACCTGTGATTAAGTCATCTTAGTGTAAAGTGCAAGCAGGGCCTGCTCGTTTGATACGTGTGCCTTGCTTATTCTTTGCAGCAGCCTGTCATTTGGTGCTGTAGACTGCAGAATACAGTGTGTCTAGGGCTCGCTAATTTACCTCTGTAGTGATGTCCAGTAGATGCTTTACTGTCATTAAGGTGAGCCAAGTTGCTGGCATTTAGAAACCAGGACCTGTAATCTTGATATGAAGTGCAGTCATTTACCGAAGAAAATAAATTGTAGAAGGATCAGTAAGGGAAGTTTGAAGATTATTTACCAAAGGACTGTCTGGCACATCCACAAGTGCTGATACTGTGCTGGGGCTTATGCTAAATGTAGGTTAAGTTGCACTAAATGTAGGGTAGGTTGTGGTGGAGTTCTGGCCCTGAAGTACAATAAAGCCATAGAAATGCTCTGGGCTTTATCTTAAAAGTGCATAAAAATGTGCATTTTGCCTGACTTCAATGACTGGGTAACATATTATGAGACTGGAAGACCTATTTATTTTAAATGTGGATGCCTGCACATACACGTGCCTCCTTCTCTGTCTCTGTGTAACTGTGTAGTACCATCAGAGATCCCAAGTGAACCCAGTTATGGTTTCCTCTCAGTATGGATCTTGAATTTTTTTTTTTTTACGCATGCCATTAGTGTACTGTGCCAACTCTTTTCCCAAGAGCACAACATTTTATGTGCACGCTTTTCTTGCACACCTTAAGAGCCTTTAACAGTTACAGCAGAAGTGTGATTTGGACTTCCTGTTGCACAGAAACAGAACTCCAGCTGCCAGGAGAAACATCCAGCTCAGGCACATATACATGCTGCAGTTGCTCTTCTGAAGCACCTTTGGCGCCTCACTCCTACCATGAAAAATGGTTTCCTTTGACATCTGCTCCACTGCATTTTTTTGAGATTGAATTTGAATCTGAATTGACTGTATGGAAACATACTTCTGTGCTCAGTTAAAGTGCACTTTATATATAAGCTTTTAGAAAGGAAACCTTAAAAATGCATTTTTCAAACTCGCCAAGCACGATTTTCATCGCTGTAAACTTAGAAACAGAGTTTTTCGTGTATCAAAGGACAACTCTGTGCACAGCAATGCACAATTCATATATGCAGACGAGCACAGCCAGCATAACTGAAAGCATCCTTTGCTGAATTTGAAATGCAGAAGCCTGAACAAATTGTCTTAGAGAAAAGAAATGAGGTAAGATTGACAGGTGCAAAAAGGAAAGGACAGTGAAGTAAATAAACAAACCAGGCTAAGAAAGGAAAGCCGAGGCAGGGGGTGTAAGTGTGAAGACGGACAGTGGTGTATGTTGACGTTGACAGGTCTTCAGGCCACCATGGGGCACACCACCTGCAACATTAAGGGTGGTCTCTACTTAGGAGGTCATTGCGGAGGAGGAGATGGTTCCAGCACAGTTATAAATAAATAAATAAATAAATCAGAGAATAGACAGACACACTTTATGCAGGTAGTGACTATTATTAGAATAACCCTGAAGATCAGACATGATGTCTGTGTGTGTAAAGAATGAGTTGTGGTTTTCTTTATTTAAATTGTTTTTGAATTAGTCTCTAGTTTCTTAAATTCTTTTTGAGAGCTAAAATGAGTCAATATCAAAAAGCGAGATGCTGCTTCTTTTTTACTACTCGACTATTTGTGGATTTTTTTGAGGACAAAATATGTAAAACGTGTTATATAAACACTTTACTACTAGATGCTTTAACAACCAGAAGCCCACATTGTGGCCTGTTTTGCCAAAATGATCAAAAATACTGTTTTCCCTCATTTCTGCTTTTTCTCCCTCTTTTTCAATTAAAAGAAAACAAATGAGCACGGGCCTGATATAGACACACAGGGGCATTGAGCGGTGCAGGAAATGACCTGTTATTTCTAGTGTTTCTACGATTTCCTGCCACAAGGGCTCAAATCCTCTCGATGGCTAAGGGTGAACTCTCAACACCTTGAGATGGAATTACTTCAGAGGGAAAAGGTGTCGCTTTGTGTGTGTTTTTTTTTTCACTCTGTGGATGAATGGCAGCCTCTGTGATGTAGATGAATCCACCGAGAAAATGCATTGGAAGAGAGTCTGGTTCTGTCAGTGTATGCTAAATGAATATACTTAGTCATTGTGCTGTATAAATGGTGTATCAGACTGCAACACTAACCAAATAATCTTTCTGTAGGGGCTGCCTGGACCTCCAGGGAAGCCAGGCGTGCTAGGCAAGAGGGGTCCTCGGGTAAGTGTCTTTGATCACCCCCTGACACCTCCAACCAGATCAAACACATTTTCATAAAAAATGATTCTGTCTGTTGTTGAGGGGTTTTTTTGTTTGTTGTTTTTTTAAAATAAATGTAAATAAGTGTCTGTTTTATCCTACCTGTTGACCTAAACCTCAAAGGCAAAACAGCCACAATAACCAAACAAGACAGTCATGAAAATAAAAGCCTTCCAAGTCCCTCCTATCAACCCGGTGCTCACACATATACTCACACGCAAAGTCTTCCTATGCAGACAGATTGACCATATTCAGCATGGGGATGCGAGTGCTGACCTCCCACCCCTGAGCATAAACAGGAAAGCTTCTATAAAGACGGTCTTTGAAAAGGCTGCCTGTGCCACAGGATGCCTAATAAAAGCACTGTAAACAGACAGAGAACACATGGCTTCACTGGATTTTCTACTTCCGACTGAACTGTTGCAGCAGACTGCACCAACACTCCATAGGAATCCGATTCTGGGCTAATGAAAGACTTCTTTTTTCCAAGGAAGTTAAATAAATCTAGTCTTCTTACAGGAGCTCTCTTCCTCTGTTTCTCACGTTCTGTCCCATAAAATGTAAAGGTTCAGCCTGACATTTGTTTGTAACCATGACGGCAGCACGTTTGCATTGCATTGTTCATAGATGGCTTTTGCCCAAACTGAAATATCAATAACCCTTTAATGGATTGTAATAAAATGTGTTCCTCTTATCCAGCAGTACCCATAGAGGGAAAAAAACAGTAGCAGTTTTAACACATACTGTGTTGATTTACATAAAATGTACCATAAAAAAATCAGAATTCAGAGGAATTCTGACAATTTTGGTGTCAATTTTTTTCTCCTTTTGTTTTTGTCTGAAAAATTACATCACCCCCACCAATCAACAACTTGTTATATTCTATCAGCACATTGCATTATCCCCTAATGTCAATTACCTCATTGATATTAGCGCTTAGCACAGCTGTGCCTGTGGTATTCCTTTTGTTCTTGATGTTAAACGGTTAATTACAAGGAAGGTACTGCAAACCTGCATTAAAAAAAAAGTCTGACATTTTATGCACTACACAGTAATTTCAGATATCCTTTATATTTTTATTTGTTGTTGTTTAAGTATAATATGTACTACGTGCTTGTTCCTCCATGTCTGCAAGACCGTTAAGCTAAAGTCTCTGCGATCCCCAGCGCCACTACATATGTATGAAAAGCTCTTTGTCTGGCTCTAATTAAAGCTATTTAAGCCCAATCAGCACCTCCCGTTCTGTCTGTAGTACCAGTTTCACCACATTGGTCCCTCTTGTGGGATTTCTTATGATCCAAATCAAACTTACTGGGAATGAATCCTAAATAGGGTTTAAAAATCTAAGCAGAGAGCTGCGTGAAGGCAATCAAGCCAAGCATGAGTCTGAGTGGAAATATTTTTTGCGCAAGAAAGCTGAAACTTTCCTCCAAATGTATTTTGGAAATTTACAAGGAGAGCTGTTAAAGCTTTTCCTAAGGAACACTTTCTCTATTTTGGACTCGTAAGCAATGAATGCGTAAGATAAATACAAATAAACAGAAGGATAACTTTGATAACTTCAGTAGTTTAAACAGGAAAAATGTGCTGCAGCATAATCCTCAATCTCTGGTTGGATCCCAGGCTGGGCATGACTTCTCAACTCTAACTTGCCCTTGATAAAGCTTTAGCATATGGCAGTGACCCCTTACCATCATCATAGCTTAGAAGTGGCTTTTGTCAAGCTCAATAAACTATCTCAGCAACAGCATCTCGCTTATGTCAAGATAGATGTTGAACTGCTGGTGGCATTCTCAGTGGAAGTGGTTGGTTTGCAAAGGGCAAGCAAGGAAAAGAAGTCATTTTCAGTAAGGATGTATTTATAAAGGCCATCAGTTTTGATTCCACTTTAACAGGGGTCAGTTGCAAACGCGCTGCCAGTGTGATTTATTTTACCCCACACACTTGGGCCCATAAGCGCTCACATGGGATTGTATGCGTGCTACAACACTAATCCCTCCGTGCAGCACAGACATACCGTATGTGGGTGAGTTTACAAACTGCCTATATAAAGAGTGAGACAGATTATGGAGGTTTCCTGTAAACAAAAGCATTTATCAAATTTAACTGCTGCTGCCATGTGTGTGTGCAAACATAGAAAGCCACACACACACATGCCAACATGCACTCCGCGCAAAGACATGCTATGCAAACTCTCCCCTCTTAGCCAGATGTATGTGTGGTTTCAATTTAGGAAGGGAAATTTACTTGTTGAACACTTACAAATTTGAATATATGGTGCAGATTGCTTAGTCTGCAGAGTCACAGGTAGGTTCTTTTGTTTGAAACACTAGTTTCTGATAAAAGAGCTCTACCAGGTTTGACCTTCTGTAGCCTGGGATTACTGGAAGTCTGCATGATGACACACAGAGCACCATTGAGCCCAAGAAGAACCAACCATGAACCTTGACCTCTCATCCCACACATGAGAGTGCGAGATGCCATTTCTATGGCAACAGATGTGAGTACAGAGACCGTTGCTCAGTACCCATGAATAGTCGGGCCGAACTTTTTCGAGTGTATTTGAGGGTATATAATGACGACGATGGTAGGAGGGTGTGAGTGGAAATGTGGATGCATCGTCAGCGCACAGGCCTATATCTATCTGAAGCCTGTGTGTGTGCGTGTGTGTGTGTGTTTGTGTGTGTGTGGGTTCATCTGGAAACTGCTGGGTCAAAAGGGTCTTTGTGTGGGTGAAAATATCTCTGTCACCCATCTTTCCTCCTGCATTCCCTCCGAACCACTCCTCTGTCGCTAACCAAATTTCCCCTACCCTGCTTCACCTGTATGCATTCAGATCCCAGATCAGCATATGGAATAGGAACCTGGAAAACTTTAAAGAACTTTCAAATGAAAACATGTGCTCCTCTATTGGGCTCTTTCGATAACACCACGCAACAGATCAGCTTTTCAAGGGTCTTTATAATCCCTAGAGTAAACTGTGTGAACGGGTCTTTCCTCTGGAACAACTTTGTAATGAGCTCCGGGACTATAAAAATCACAGACCAATCCCCTTTTGGGCACTTTGTTTTGGCATAAAAACTACATCTAGGTTTCCATCTTAATTTCCAAACTTGTCATTCACATTATTAATTATTACTATTATTGTTTTAAATACCTAAATAATACTTTAGACTTTTACTCGTTATTTCCTTTTTCATATGCTAAAAATGTTGGCACAGAAGCAGTTCATTCATCCCCATCTGCTTCTGTTATTATAGCATTTGAATGTAATTCATGTGGCATTAAGCTGCAAATTCCACTCTTTTTATCCAGCAGTGGCGAGGTCTGTTTTCAAACTTTTGACAAACAGTGAAATATCTTTAGGGGCAAAGGTTCGAGTGTCTGTTAATGCTTGGTGGAATCTTTAATTATGAGGACATCCAGCAGTTTCACATGCTCTCTTGATCTAATGTTAGTTAATCAGACACTGCCCCGTCTGCTCTCATTTGGCACGGCATCATACAGAATCTCATTTATCTTTAATATGGTGGCTGTACATACATTTAAAGTCTCTTTTACAAGCTAGTGTTGAAAGTCAGAGTATGTTTACAGCACAGCCCATCAAAAGGCCTCACCTAAAATATTCTGCGTGTGAACGTGACTTTGGGAGTGATGTCACGTATCCAATTTTAAGTGCGTATGGTGCATGTGTTGGCTTCAAGTTGCACATATGTTGTTGGGCATTTTGGTATATTTAAGCATAGGTATTTATATACAATATGGTAGCATATGATGAAACATTAGAAGCTACCATTTGTTTAGATTTTCACCATTTTGTCTCCAAAGAACTGGAATAAATTACACAGAGCTAGCAGTACTATTACCGCAGGAACCACAGCAACGCCCTGTATTGCTGTTCAGAGGTTGGTGGCTTTTTATTTGATAGCCCTTAGCTTGTGTGTGCCCCACCCTGGTCTTCTCTAATTAGACACCTGTTGCGAGAGAGAAGGAGCAAGACGCGGAGGCGAGAGCACTGCAGCAAATGTTAGTGCCAGCCCATGCCTACTAGAGCACTGACCAACCTGTGGTAAGCCACAGGGTTAATTTTGAATCATGTAATTCAAACTTGTCTTGTTTGTGTAAGTTTATTTAGGGCACAACAGGGACCCTTAATGCTGTCTGGACAGACCAGCTCTCGAGGAATGCCAGCTGTATACAAAACCGAAAATGAAAGGGGAAGCATGTGGGAGGACAAGAGGCGAGGTCTTTAAAACTTGAGAATGCTTGGAATGAAAGTATTTCAAAATGGTACTTTTTCTTATTTTCTGTCAGATGCTTACTGCTACAATTGCACGTGCTCATCTGAAACATGGCCAAAAATTCAAATAATGAGTTCAGCGTATGTACAAATAATGCATGTAAGCCAAAAGCTCAGGCTTCAGACTGCTCTAAGTAGTCAGTTTAGGGGTTTTTTTTGTTGTTGTTTTTTTTACTCATGGCTCTCTGTATGATTACCAAGGTCACCCCAAGCATAAGAGAAGCCCCATTTGTTTAATTCTTTTGTTTGTGAGGGGCAACCAATCAGAAGAACGTTGGCTTAAAGGCAGTGGAAGGGTTGTAAAACAGCTTGTTTCAGACGAAGGACAGATGCACAAAGACCCAGTAAGACCCGAGGACTCTTTTGACCTGTGAATCATGCAAAGTAAATGGACTGGTTCTTCTATGGCACTTTTCTACTTGAGCGTTGAAAGCGCTTTATACAGCATGCCTCATTCACCCACATTCATACAAACATTTTTTTTATGCCTAAGTGCTTTCTATATAACATTCACACTCTGATGGATGCATCAAAGAGTAACTTCAGTATCTTACCCAAGAATACTTTGGTAAGTAGATTGGAGCATCCAGGGATTGAACCTTAGTAGATGACCTGCTCTACCTCCTGAGCTACAGCAAACAAATCAATGCAAAGTTAAATTGAATAAAATCTTTGCTGGAAATTCCTGAGTGTTACTTAATAAGAACCTCGTGTCACCAAGATGCTGTGTTCACCCATCACAAACTCTTGATCACTTTCATCAAATTGTCCCTTAATAGAAAGATCCGTTCCATCAAAGGCCTGCTGTATGCTGTCATGTCATGTCTGATTTAAATAGCTAAATGACCTCCTCAGCATGTCCTGAAGTTCTCCAGAGGCCTGGTAATGAACTAATCATTGGTTCAGGTGTGTTGACCTAGGGTGAGATCTAAAACCTGCAGGACACCGAGCCTCGAGGCCTGGAGTTTGACACCCCTGCCTTACATAATAACTTCCTGATTTGTTTTTAGCCACCTCAGTAAAACCCGTTGACCCAGCTCTTAAAGCAGTTTTTGCTCTTTTTCCACATTTTGACTGACCCAGAACAGAGCTAGGTCATGGACCCCAAAATGGCACACCATTTGGAGGGCAGGAGTGAGCATTATACAGTAAATTGTAACTCAGAAGAAGAGAGGGGAAGACAAACAGCTATCTAAGTGACGGGGACATAGCAGCCTCACATGCTTTTTTCTGCAGGCTGTTTTTCAAACCCAAGAAAAACTGGTGTGTTTTCACTCTCTGGCTTCCAACATCTTCTTTTAAACCTCCCTGTGGGGGTTACTGGACAGAGTGAGATGGTTTTACATTACAAATGTGCCGCCGCTGTAGATCTTGCTTTGTTTGAGCTCATTTTCTCACCAACAGTCAGTGCAGACAGAAATGCACACCAGTGATCGAATTCAAAATGTTATGAAATGAGATGATCTGTATTACTCATTAAGATCCTTGGAAAATGTGTGTTTGTTTGTGCGGGTGTGTGTGTGTGTGTTGGGGGAGGGCTTGTGGAGTCTGTGGCAAGTGGGGGCAGGAAAACCACATCCATATGGTAAAGCAGCTCCTGAGAGCCCCATTTTTTCCATAAGCATCTACCCCCAACACCAACACCAAATACCTCATCAGCACACTCACACATACACACACAGTTGATTTATAGGAAAACAGGTTGAGGCTGAGCTTCTCCAGACAGTCTTTACCCCCCACCTTCATCCCTGGTCTCATTCACAGAAGCAAAGCCACAGTCTGCATCAGCTCTTTTTTTATGCAAATGCGTGATCTCGATCACCTTTTGATTGTGTTTTACTCTTTCTCATTTCAACACAGGGCCCCCCTGGTCCACATGGAAACCCTGGGAGACCCGGTCCACCTGGACTCAAGGTACACATCTAGTCTACCCTCTGGTCCTGCGTGATCCAGCCATGTTGATTTTCCCATATGAAGTGGTTACACGATTGGGTTTTTGCCTATACTGCTATTTTACTATGATGTAATGTGAATGATAATCCCATGAGAACATGTTCGATTTACATTTTTCTATATCAGCTGGAAACCCCTACAAAGCAAAACAGTAATGGAGTTTGATGGCAGAAAAATAAAGGAAACTTCAGTTCACAGCAGGGCTGCAAGTACCTGGCAGCTGGAGTGCAGAAGCTGTTTCACTTTAGCATGTGTGCTGAAGAGATCAATGTTAGGATTCCCATTTGTACTTGAATTGTTCTGCAGACTTTTGCAATTCAATTCAATTCAATTTTATTTATATAGCGCCAAATCACAACAAATGTCGCCTCAAGGCGCTTCATAAAGCGCCTTGAGGCGCAAGTGACTGAGGTTGACTGAGGTTTTTATGTTGAAAGGTCTTGAGGTCTTTAAGGAGAAAATATATAAATATATGTATATATAATATTTTCTGCATTCCTGATGTAATTGATTTATGCCTTTGCAAATACCCTTAACCTCTGACATTGTGTGCTTACATAATAGAGTGAGGGCCTGCACCTAAAAGTGCATTATAAAAAAAAATGGAAACTTTTCCAAACCTTCTAGCTATTATCATACCCTTTTATTTATTGATTGCACTCAGATTTGTTGCTTTCCAGCTGAGAGGTAGATTGGAAGGGCGATTTCTCTGCAGTGTAAGAAAGGCTGCTGGTTAGCACGCTTAATAACAACACTGGAAACATAAGCAAACTGTTTAAAGCACCTCTAAGTCTCATGAGTTACAGATAAGGTCAGGCATACACGCACACAATGGAATGATCAGCAGCAAAGGTTTAATGAGAACTTTGGTATATTGTGAGACAGACTGGTGTGGGCCAAGCTTCTTCTTCCTGGCAAGTGTGTTGAAAGAAAGATTATGGAGTGTTTGATGTCTCGGGGTGCACCACAATCTTCGTTCTTTCATCATTAATAAACGAGACAGAGTTGTAAATGGCAGGGGTCCGAAGGGGAAAGAGAGGGAGTCAGCACTCAGTGTAATTTCCGATCCGTGGCTTTGATGTGCTGAAACCCCATTATTGTTACCTGCTGACAATGAAGCTTGGTGTGTGTGTGTGCGTGTGTGTGTGTGTGTGTGTGTGTGTGTGTGTACGTGCGTGCGTGCATGCATGTGTGTGTGTGGAGGCCACTAAGTAAAGCATGTGTTACTAAATTTGTCACACTACAAAGACTTTACTTTTTATCTTTAAGTATGTGATGTATAGAGGGACCCCTTTATGTCCTTTAAGTCTTCCACAAAAAGAAAATATGTTCATATTTTATTCATATAATAAATATGTTTGACTTCACCGTGTGAGTTTGGTGATTTGTTTGTTTCTCCCAGGGGAACAAAGGTGACCCTGGAATCTCACCTGGACCAGCACCCAAAGGAGAGAAGGTATAATATCCTCCCTATACTTATTTTCCCCATTAATTTGTAATGATGTCCTGTTTGGCTCTAAGCGCATTTCTGATTGCTGTGTGTGTGACCTCACTTTCCTCCACACTTGGCCTTTAAACATTCCCACTTTGTATTCCAGGGAGACTCGGGGATCATTGGCCCAGTTGGAATGATTGGCCAGCCAGGTCGAAAGGTAAGACTTGAACTGCTAATGTCCTTCCAGAGCTTCTCAAAACCCTTTCATCAAGTTTATTCTCAGTAAACTGAAGTGAATTGTTCTTAAATGCCTATTTACCAACTGAAAAGCGAGCAAAGCGTTTGCATCTGCAAACTATGAGCAGCGAGGCCTGAGGCAATGCATGAGTCACAATGTGTATTCGTAATGTGTCTGTGTGTGGTGTTGTTTGTGTTTAACCTGCTCATCTTTGTAAAAGTATCTCTACTCATCTTCTTCTTCCCAATTCTCTCCATTTTTGTTTTTCCTTTTTGTGCTCGCCAGTTTGTTTAGTGGATCCTGCAGAGATCTGGCAGGAAGGCTGCCACAGGAGATAAAGGGGTCAGACTTTTTTTCAAAGGGGAAAAGAGAATGGGAATCATGCACTCAGTCATCAAATTGCTAGTGTCTTAAATCTTACTTAAGGCACGGCTTGAATGACTCATAAGTCCAAGGAAGTAAAAATGTAGGGAAGACCTTCTGGTAGACAGAAGTGTAACAAGCACAGACTGAGATTAAGACCAAGTTGAATGTCTGGGTTGCGTATGCATCTCTGTGGGCATGAATGCATCCCTGTGTGCTTATCTTTGTGAGCGCGTGTGTTACTACTTGTTAATACTTGTTCCCTGAGGGCGCTTCAGCAGTTGAAGTTTAAGTGAACGAATTTTGGTTCAGTACATGTGGAAAAGATACAAACAATCAGCCAAATGCAATGTGTCAAAATTAAATGTGGTTTCTTGGTTAGTGGTTAGAGAAAGGATGCAACACATTCCCATTCCCTAGCATCATATTTTAACTCTAGGGGAACCACCTTTAACATCATTTTCCAATATACAGGGTTACGTTTTACCATTGCCAATGTGAGAAGAACAGAAAATTTAGGGTCCGAATTTAAAAGTAGGTTGGGTGGTGAATGACTGGGGCTCCTTTACGTTCACTCTCTATTTTTGACTTGCAGTTACATTCAAACAACTAAACTCAGTGGTTAGATTCAGGGGGAAAGTTAGGGTTGTCGTGTTGAACACACACTAAGAGCCCTATTTTTCCCATCTGCGTCAGGTTTCCTTCGATACCGTGGTTACGCATCCTTGGTTAACATGGTTACCCATTCTGTAACGATGACTACGTCAGTGGACTGCTTTTTCCCCTTAATCAGCATTTTAAACTCCACTCCACTGAAAAGTTGCAAAACGATGTAAAAATTGTCCAGGTTATTACAGTGTAATATGCTAGGTACCTGATCAAGTGTCGCTTTGTAATGACTTAGGAGAGAGAGCAGGTTGAGGAACAAGAATTTGGCTGTAAAGACTTTAACTTGTAAACAATGTAAACTTAGTTATGAAGTCATATAACACAGTGAATAAACTACAAAAGCTAGAATAAAGGAGTGGAGCCTGACCCACAGTTTCATATAGTAGTGCCAAGTAAACTCCAGCTGATGGCAGTTAATTAAATTGAATACCTCTGAAATATGACAGATATAAACAAAGACCGCATGTGAGCCAGAAAAATGTTGGGAACCACTTCAGTTTAATCTTTGTGCTCACTTCCAGTCAGCATCAAAATAGTTCCTTTCACCCATTTTCCAAGTAAACTGTTGCAAACATATGTCTGATAAATGAAAAGAAGATCCTATTAAAAGCTTCCAATCACATCATGCATCAAATGCAGCTGAGCCGTGCACATGTCTTAAACAAATTAGGTCAGTAATTGAATAGTGCAGGTTGACTGTATGCCTTTCAGACTAGGTGTAAAGCACTTCTGGCTGTATTTACTTTCTTCCCAGAGCCACAGTGCTCTGTAACACAGTGTCAGACTTCAGCTGGATGGCTACCTCGGGCTCCACATATGGCTTTTGTTAGGTGTCTGCTTTTCTGCGTGTGTTGTGTGTGTGTGTCTTAGTCCATTTGTATGTCCCTGCCTCTCTCTTTCACACACACTCAGCCAGAATGGAAACAAAAAAAAAAATGTAAGGCTGGTGGAAAACATTCACAGATTCCTTTAAAACTAGCAATTTGAAGATTTATCAAGAAGTTAGTGCCTTTTAACTTGGCCAAGGGTGACTACACAGATTAGGTCAGATTATGTAAGACAGTGATTTGTTTGTTAGCATAAATGTAAGATCACTTTAAAGTATGCACTGTATACTTACTTTTTTACCCACGACAGCACTTTCCGCTTATCTGCATGCAGTCCAGAGGTGGAGCAAACTGCTTTAATAAAAAACAAGGGCACATTATAGCTCAAATTATCAGAATGACATCATAGACTCTTGACTAGGGAGGCGTAACCATAGCAACTTCATCCACACACACACACACACATACACATACACAGAGACTGACATCACCAAAGCATGCCTCAGGTATTGGTCAATGAACCACAGACAACTTGACTATAAAGGAAACTTGTTAAAGTAAGCACAAGGAGGCAACTTCCTTTCCGTACACAAACACAAAGAAGCTGATTAACCCGCTTCCTGCAGTAAACAAAGCACAATAACTTGTTGTAGTTATCGGCTAGCCACTGTAGCAGCAGTTTCCTTAAATGAATCTCCATCCTTAATGCAACGCTGTGACAGGCGTGTGAGTCAGTCTCCAAAGGGTACTCCTCAAACAGGCCTTGTTCTGTTCATTTTCAAGGTGGAAAGTCCCAGACGCATTTCGCCCTGATGTAGATCTCTCCATTTCCACAGAAGCCAGATGAATACAAAGAGAATGCAATATTTGAAAACAAATAACAACATTTATGGGCATTGCATTTCCCTCGTAGGCCACCCTGAAACACCTTCGTATTGCTCTTGTGTTTCTAGCTGTTTAACTTTCTCTGTCATCGTTTGCTTGTTTTTCTGTGGTTTAGGAAAACAGGACAACAGCAACTTTTCCTCTCTTCTCCTCTGTGTTTTTGCCCTCCACTTTCTCTGTCTCACACACAAACACGCACGAATATCCAGCCTCTAATTCATCCTTAGCCGTGATGTTTCGACCGGGAATTCTGGAATTTGGCTTCTGGGTTTTTGGGGGTTTTTTTCCGTGGAAACTTTAATGGAGGAAACAGTGGTACTTTAAATGTGTGATACTAGAGTGTGATTTTACACTGTCAGACAAGCCAAATATGTTCCGCTCTGTACAACATTTGTTCTACCAGGCAGGCTCTGAATGGTTTTTCAGTATGGTGAGGCAGGGTCAGGGACAGGGGACATACACAGGGCCAAACCTCAACTACAAATCCACAGTACAAGCCACGCGTCTCACCTTACTGCCTGCATGCCCTGTGTCTCATCCCAGGACTAGATGATCCGTCTCTCCTCACTTTCTGCCTGTCTCTTAAAGTGTCCATACTTTTTTCACCTGAAAGTCGAGACAGTCGAGCAGAGTAATATCTATTTGCTGGGCCTTCATGCCAAATGAAGCTATTTAAAACTATGTTTCTTATTGACATTGTTTGCATTGACAGCCTATAGGGATGTAAGGAACGATATATGAAGATTCTAAATTCACATTACTTTGTTAGGACTTTGTTATGTACATTACAGTAACTGGTTAAAACCATTTAACACAACAGTTTGAATATATGCACAATGAAATAGCAAAAACCTGCACTTTCCACTTCTTTTCAACATCTTAAAGTTTTCTGTTAATGACTGTAGGACAATAAAGGATTTATGTCCTGTGGGTGATGTAGGTGTCATCACTGCTAAGTGCAGGTTCAAACCATGTATCTTGAACATAGCTGTAATGGGTATGTTAATCAGCACGGTCATCGTTGCTTTTAAAAACTGAATCGTCTGAAAATGTTCATAATTTGCCAGAGATTGTGCAAACTTTTAAAGACTACGAGAGCCTGAAAAATAGAAATATGTAACCAGTCAATATGGATTACTTTCCAGACAGCTGGAAAGTAATCCATAAACACTCTTGTCGACTCAGTGGTTATGCAACATTGTGGGAAAATGTCTTGAGACAGTTTGTGGTGTTTATAAAAAGTCTCTGTACTTGTGCTTTTTACATACGTGTTATCCAAATATGTGATTGTTTTACAGCAAGCAAAGTTTGGATACTCTGATGTTTTTCAGTTTTGAAGTCCAAAAGGAGAAGTAGCCTATAATTAAAAGGTAGAATCAAATACTGTATTTCATTCCCAGTTCCAGACAGTGTATTAATCATCCTCGTTTCCTTTATTTGTGCATGGCAGTTTGTTGTATGACATTAATCTGTCTGAAGTCCCGTTCCAAACCAAACTCTCTCCATTAAGCTCCTGCTCACTGTTCAAACTAACAAATGCTCCACATGCTCATCATCATCATAATTATGAGAGAATTCAAATCAACCATCATTTTCTTTGCATGTTTTACAACAAATCACTGCTCTGTCCTCTGGTAGCAGTAACAGTGATACTGCATGCAAGGAAACATTGTGCTGAAATTGCTGTGCAGACAGGGATGAGATGAGGAATCTTTTTCCACTGGCTAAATTTCAGCCAAATTGTCCAGTTCCTTCGCACAGTTGTTTGTTTTTTGTCTGTCCCTGCGTGGAGCGTTTATGTTCTCCTGTACATTCAATGTATACATGGAGCCAGACGATTACGCCGAGCAATCATGTGGCTCCATTCTGTAGGGTTTGAAGAGATGAAAGCAGAGATTAATAAGGAGAGTGGTATATTTCTGCTACCAGGGTGCTGCACAGTTCAGTCAGATACACATTGTTTGTGGAGTACAGTTGTTAAGCACACATGAGGTTGGCACTCATTTGAACACCCACAATGTGGGTACAGCAAGTCAAAGGAATGACATGTCATCAGCAGACACAATGTGTCTTTTATTTTCTTTCTGCCAAAATGCGCTTAGCGTTCCCCCAGGGCACTCCTAGGCTTAGCTGGGTAGGAGGGATTGTGCTTATAGAGTGCTACCGGGAGGCTACTGTAAATGAAAAGCATTCTGATGGGTTTATCTGATTGAACACACATGCTTGTTAAACAAGTGGCATTGTAAACACAGGCAGCCTGGCGGGAATGGCCACTCTCATTAGCAAGCTCATAATGAGCGAGATAAGGATCTAAGATGGTCTAGCTGAGGTTGAGAGGCTATGGTTAATACACAGGAACCACGGCATCTGTGCATGTGTGTGTTTGTGGTTAGTGGACCTCACAGTACACCATGGGAACATATGCCACTACACACGTTTGTACTACAAGTAAGCCATGTAATAAGATGGGGGGTATAATGTGCATAAGGTGCATGTATCTTCGTGTGTGATTGTGCATGTGCCCATCTGTGCGAATGTGCACACATTTGTGAACCTGTATATGTGTTTCCAAGCTTGAGAGAGGGTTTAGGTCACCGCTTCTTCAGAGAATATATGTTAGCGAAGAAGTGCATAGAAAACAGAAATTAATTTTAAGTAGTTTAAATTAAAATCCAGTGGTTGTGTCTCAGTATAAACAGACCATATATTTGGACACATGTAAGTAATCATCAGAAAAACACAAATGTTTACCAGCTGGCCACCGTCATAATATTGCACTTTATAATTGGTAAGTTTTCAGACATGTGCAGCATGTGTCTCTGAGTCCATCTGCTCTCTTCTGTGTACCGGTTAGTGATAATACTTTTGCAAAATAAGAAAACCCACAAAAATTCAAGCTTGTGTCACTGTGTCTGTCAGCACCTGCTAACATCTCTACTTGTTTATTTGTGTTACTCGTGTATTTTCCTCTCAGCCAAAGGCATCTCCTCCTAGTGGCCTTTTGATGATGTGCACCAGATGATGTGAGGTGAACGTTTTCCAACACAACACAGGGCTTATATGTGTGTTAGACACAGATGAAAGCAGACTTTAAAAAAAAACATAGATCTGCAATGACAATTACAAAAGGTTTACTAGAAAACAACACTTTGCTGACACAGTGTTTAAAATGCTGGGAACGGCAGTTTAAAGTGCTGCTGCGTAGTAGACCGACGAGAGCGATCGTGTAACGTAATGAGAAGAGGGATGCTGCGTCCTCTTCTCCTGCTGCAGTCAGTTGACAGAGCAGTGGATAGTTTACAGGAACTCTGGAAGCCTTGGCTTGGAACGCTGAAGCTGTGGTTTAGGAAAACGGGACAACAGGAGTCTTTCCTTTCTTCGGCCGTCTGTTTTTACTTTGTTTTTTTCCCCCTCTTTCCTTTTTTTTTAAAATCTCTCTCTCTCTCTTGCTCCCTCACTCTATCAAACTGTGGTCTGGGAAGGCATGTCTTCCTACCTTTGATTTAGTTTTTTTTCTTTTTCCTCCAGTCTTTGTCGGGGGTCTGTGGTGCTGGAGTCAGCAAAAACTGCAGGAAAGCACTATGTCAGGCTGTCTTCTGTGTTGCAGTCTGGCCTGCTGCAGGGGGAGGGCCTTGCTATCTGACTTAAACAGGAAGGCATTTATATCCTCAACATGCCATGATCTTGGCAATAGTCTTCCGAAGACCCTGCGAACACAGCCAGTGGAAAGTCTGATCCATTAACAGAAGGGCAGATTGATACCTCACCGCATATGGCACCAAATTTGTCTGTTGGTGCTGTTCGCGTTACCACTTCACTCCACCTGTCATTCCCACACATGCTCCTGTGTTTGTCAGGCTTTTTCCTCAACTGTGAATCATTTCAGACTTTCCCACCTCTTTCTTTTTTTCTGTTATTATTTTATACTCACTTATCATGTGATATTTTGGTTTCTTTAGGGACTGAAAGGTTTCCCTGGCCAACCCGGACTCCCTGGAGAGCCTGTAAGTATTTTCACAGGTGTTCTCTTTTACTTCTGCAACAGCCACCCTCACAGAAAAACCCATGTTCATTTCTATATCTTGTATATTCTCATTATATATTTTGCTTCTTTAACCTTGAATCTCCCCAGATGAACTCTTTTCTTTTAGGCACTTCTCTCTACCTCATGCACATCACATTATCTGCCATGCCATGCCTTCATTAGTGTCCACGTATGTCTTCATTCACGTCCACCTCACTCAAGTCTAAACCCTTGCTCTCGCTTCATTCTTCAAAATCAAAACTCAGTCGTCATTCACTCCAGGTGTTCAACCTTTCACTCTGTGTGTATGTGTGCGCGCACCGAGGATGCCAGCTGGGCAGCCAGATTAGATTAGCCTGTTATGAAGCACTGGTGAGGACAGACATCTGGCCAAAGCACTGTGTTAAAGCGATGCACTCCATGATATCAGAACGTGATGCCAAAGAGAGGAAAAAATAGAGAGAAAAGAAACAGGGACAAGCCAAGTAGGCCAACAGTGACACACTCAGTGGCTGCTACTCCACAGTCCTGGAGAAAGTTTTCCTTTGTGTGTGTCTCTTCTGCTCCAGGCTTGTCGTTCAATCGTCACACTGTCTTACAGCATGTCACACTATGACATGCTATGCTATTTTCTAGCAGGCCTTTATTCTTTGTCATATTTCCCAGGTCATTTATCTGTTTGACTTTCCTTAATCTGTGGGAAACCATTCAATGAAGTCTTTTATTCACTGCTAAGTGACGGAAGACATGACTCTGGCTGTTTAGTCCACCCCAACACTATTTTTAAGCATGGAGCATCCAGCCTTGCGTCCAAAGTTATTTTCAATTGGGCAAGGTCATACTACTGTTTGCATTAAAGAAAGATCTTAGTCATGAAAAGAGAAGTGGAAATTTCTCCTCACTGTCACAGCCGTGCTCAGGATGACGTCATCAGTTTGGGGAGTTCCTGCTCTAGTCATTGTAGAGAAGGTACTTTTTACTAATATGCCCTCCCACTCGATTCATCCTCAAACGCCCCCCTGTTTCCCACATAGCTGGTTCCTTTTGATGATCATCACAGTGTAAATCACCATAGTGCCAGCGACCAAGTTAGCAACATACACAGCTATTTGCTGTTGTGTGCAGTAACACAGTGGCTTGATGACACTTTGTTACTGTAATGCACCACAGGCTGTATTCAGAGCCTAAACCTACAGCTGGTCAGTTAAAGGCCCAAATGTCACAAAGCCAAATTCATGGCGTGTTTTAACTGGCAGCGTCATACACCGCATTTATCCGAGAGAGGGAATGGCAAGGAAAGTAAGACACAAACGCTTGTCCTCTGCAAATTTTGAACACAACCTGCTTCTGTGCACATATCTTATGCCTTCTGACAGTGACATATACAGTACATGCATGCAAACCAAACTGCTAATTAGGGTCTATGGTCTGGAACACATCTGAAAAGTGAGGAGTGAAAGAAAAAAAAGAAGCTTTTCATGGTAATCAGTGGGAACAATTCAGTGGGGTGGAATGTCACCAAGTTCATTTACACAAGTACTCTACTTAAGCACCAATTTGAGGTACATATACTTTTCTAGAGTGTGTATTTCCTTGCCATTTTGACATAATAATAAAATATGATCTTTTAAATCAAAACAATTTTTAAATAATGCAGCCGAAGGTTTCTTCCTGTTAAAAGGGAGTTTTTCCTTCCTACTGCCACCAACTGTTTGCTCATGGGGGGCAGCTGATTGTTAGCGTTTTCTCTGTACTACTTTAGGGTCTTTACCGTAGAACATAAAACAGCTTGAAGTGATTTCTGTTGTGAATTGACGCTATATGTATAAATAAATAAATTCAATTTAATTAATAAAAAAAACATATTGGAGACATATAGTTATTATACTTATCAATCACTGCATTTCATCCCATCTGCTTTGTCTACCTCACTGAAACCGTTCACTACTATGAATGGCCTGCTTGTGTGTGTTTGTGTTGCTGCAATTTTGATTGCCCACCCTACCACTCTCTCCCTCTCCTCCACCTTCTCATTTGTCTCTCTCTTTCTCTCTTCCCCGCAGGGTGAGCAAGGTCCAGTCGGGAGCCCAGGTGCCAAAGGTTATCCTGGCAGGCAGGTGCAGTAAATCCTCTCCTGTGACTGGTACAGTTGTAGTCAGGGCCGTAGTAAGGGCAGAGGGCCAAGAGGAATTAGGTTATGCTAAGCAGATGGCCTGGAGGGAAAAAACATATTTGGGTAAATACTAAACAGAAGAAAATGAAAAATAAATGCCTCAGAAATTAACATAGAGATCCACTTCAGTATTTAAGCCATAGCTGCTATACAGAAATGTATGGCAGTGTATTTTTGAACAAGAGTATTTATTATTGTGTCCTGTCACCTTTCCCCTTTGGGGAGGTTTCTGTTATTTTTATAATAAACCTTACCAATTATAATATTAGGATGTATCTCTGTTGCATTGCTTTTTAAAATATTCCATTCTAAAGTTAAACCTGTAGACTTTGGTATAACCCAAATGAAGTACTTCAGGCACAGCTTCAAGTGCAGGGCTGCTAAATTAAATTCCTCTTTTTGATTTTCAGGGTTTACCTGGGCCTATAGGACCAATGGGGCCTAAAGGCGTTCGGGTAAGGAGTCAACTTTCTGCTCTACAAATGTGCTGCTCAAGCTTAGATCTGTCTAAATGACCAGTATTGATGTTTTGACAGGATCACTGAATATGCTTACTCGTCTCATGACATTTATAAAAAGAAATGCACAAAGAAGTTGCTAAATTAAGGGCTTGCTCACAAGCATTAGCATTTTGTGCTAGAAAGCTATTGTTGGATGAGCACTTACTTGAATGCAACACCAGCCAAATACTAGTATGTATGAAAGCATGCATGGCAGCAGTTGCACCAGCATCCAACACCGCACACATAAATAAACACACACTCAACTAGTGTGTGTACCACTGTTAATAGCGTGCTAAACTTAGGAGCCTTCTAGTACAAACATTGTGTTACTGTATACAGACTCTTATTCAAAGACTGGCTGTTGATAAGCCTCCTCATGCAAACCAACACCCTTTAGGCACACAAACAAAAAAACAGACGCGGGTGACACAAACTGATTTTTATGTTGCATTTCAATAAAGGTTCTTTATCAGTTTCCCTTGGCTGCTCCGAAGCCTTCCCCTGCCCCCACTGGCTGGAATTTCCTGTTTAAGCTCAGTTTGAGGCCCTGCTGTCTTAAGGAGGCATTCTAGTCCGCCTTTTGCTCACTGCACTACCTTTCTCTGTTTTCTGCTCTCTTTCCTTTGCTGACTACTACGTATTGTGTAAACTCATCTGACGCCTTGCTTCTAACTAGCACCTGAACTGTTCCTCCAGCGTTCAACTGTGGTGTTTCTGCTTGTTGTCGTCTGTGTGTGTCTCCACCATAATGACAGCCCAGTGTGATGTCCTGGCTATCTTCAGAGATCCCTGGCGTGAGGGTATGTGCCCTTGGACTACATCGTGGAAGCCAGCACCATGCAGTCCATGGGCATATACACTTGCCTCATGGCTTGGTTCTTCATGCAAGCCAACCCAGTCCGTGGTGGACCATCATCCACTGAAAACCAGCCCCAGAGCCATTAGGGTTTTTTTTCCTACTGCTTTTATACTATCCAAATACTCATCCATATTCCTCCTGTCTCCTCTTCTCTCCTTCAGGGTTTCATTGGAATCCCAGGCCTTTTTGGCCTGCCCGGTCCTGATGGCGAAAGAGTGAGTCCTTTTCAAATGTATATTTCTCTCAAGCAATCGGTAACTCAGAAAATGTACACGGTCCAGCCGAATCCAACTAATGGGCCTGCGAAAGGACAGCATTTCTTCTTCTGCATTTTGTACATTCAGCTGTCTTGTTGTTATAACACGAGAATCAGTCCCCAGCTGTCCGAGATGCTGCTGTATAAAGCTGTGTGGGAGTGTTGATGACTCATAATAAAAGCCCCTCTTTTAAGGCCTTTGAACTGCCTGAACTCACTAAGGCCTCTTACTTCTGTACAGCCATTTGCCCACTTATGACACGGTCCAGAAGGTTGCATCCGCACAGGATAGGCTGTAATCACGACTTGTACCATCTGTAGCCAGAAAGATACACATAAAGCAGAGACTATGCATAGCTCTCTTCTTCCAGCAGGCTCTTTTTCTCATTTAATAGACATATGTGCACAATGGAAGCCTAGATCTCTCATAATAGGTTAGAAAATATAGGCTAGGCTGCAGTCAGCTGCTGTTCACATCGGCTGAAGCAGGAGAGGAGACAGGCTTTTTAATAGTGTGTTTTGGGCTTGAATCAGTTCTACCCAAAAGTGCTATGTTTTGATTTTGATATGGCTTTTTACATAATGTCTGACTCTGTCTTTCATCTTTGTTTCTGTCTTCTTTTCACCCTTTCTGTTCTGCTTTCTTTTCTACTTCTGCTCTCTCTATCTTGTTTGGATTTTCAGGGTATACCCGGCGAACCAGGGAAGAGGGGCAAGATGGGTAGGCCGGTAAAGTTTTGTCTCAACATACTTTGCAGATAATCTTTCAAAAATGTGATAAATTGTGCTGGATGTGCTCATTTTGAATGTTTGCTTTGTTATGGATGCTGATTATAGCTTTTAGAACCTTAAAGTTCAGAGACAAGTTTGGGAAAAAAAAGAAAGATTTCCTGTATTTGGGTCAGATCGAAACTTTTTCTGCAAAGAATCCAACACATATGAAAATTTCATAAGGTCTGCATTTGCGTCATTCTTTCAATCGGCTAAGTATTTCCATGGCTGTTGGAAGGGTTAACTGCAGCCTGAATAGAGTGGAGTCCCACCAGCCGCATGTCGGGGTCTTGGATGTAACAAGAAAAAGGCTTTTGTTGGAGTAATGGGCTTTCGGTCCCCCCCAGCATGGAGCCAAGCCATTTGGAAGGAAGCCGCTGATTCTGTTGTGTGTGTCAGATATAGTGTTCAAAGTCAGTTTGACAGAGTGTTTTAGAAAGAGTGTGTAACCCCCAACACACACTGCTGAGATCATTCTGCAGCTGTGGCTTATTGGCTTTTCAGTAAATAAGCCATTTATTGGCCAAAACGTCTAAACACACGCAAGCGAGTGTCCACTATTGTGAGGCTTTTAGAAGTAAATGCTTATTCTGTTATTAGGCAATTGTTTAAGAAGCAGCTGCAGATACAAATTTAGCACATCAGAAGTTTGTGGGGCCTTTTGCATTTGATTTGATTGCGTTAGATTTTTTTTTTGGAGTTTGTATGCATGGGTGTTCTCCTCACTTAAAGAGGCCTGCATTATAAGATAAGTTTTACAGCCATGAAAACGGCACAGGGATATAAAAATATCATTATTTTGGTCTGTTTAGTACCAATATCCATGCATTTCTTATGCATAACATCCTTAAAAGACAGCATTAAATGTACTGAAGTAAATTTAGAAATTAAGCACATTTCTGGCCTGCAAAAGCAACTGAAAGACACACACCTATCGTAATCACTGTCATCTGGTTTCAGTGCTTTTGCATGGAAAATGGAAAGCATGGACGCTTAATGAGATGATCCCTCAGAGATCATCCCTCTGCTCCCTGATGGAACAGAAGAACCACAAGAACACGAGCCAGACATTTTAATGGCCATCACCAGAGCACTTGTACTCTGTCGAGGAAGCGCACACACACACAGACGCACAGTTTGCCATCTACCAATGAGTCAAGAGCAAATATATCTAAAACCATGGAAAGCTTAAAAAGTTTCCAAAGTGCATTGCCAACATTTCTACATAACCTTTTTTTCTGTTTGGCTGTGTTTGTCTGTTGGTGGTGGTTTTCTTTATCAGGCTCATCTGTTGCAGTTCTTTTATATCAGTTCAGTATCTTGCAGTAAGTGCTGCTGTTGTTTGATCCTTTTTAAGGTTGAGGCTGATGAAAAGGGTGGTCTGACATAATGTGAAAGCAGAAATACACTAAAGGCTCACATGACTCTCCTCAAAGGCTTTTTAAGTACTTGGCAAATCCACGTTTCCCACATTTGTCCTCAGCTCATACAGCAGCGGCAACAGCTACATGATTCATCTTTCGGGTCACTGTCATCCTTCGTAGATGTGTGTTCCCCCAGCGCTCACAATTTTATTGTGCTATAAAGCAGGCTTCTGTAGCACAATGACCCTACTTTCTTCTTCTTCTTCGTTTTTAGGTAGCATGGTACTCCACCTGCTACAGAAACAATGTGCAATTACAGCAGTTAGTGCTGTTAGGATCGCCTCATTGACCTGATGCAAAGTTTCAGGAGAAACATTTAGAAAGCCTCAGTCAAAGGGATTTATTATTGTCTAAAAGTGAGGTTGAAATGGCATTTTGTTTTCAAGAAACAACCTGCAAAGGAGTTGCGTTTAGTCAGCACAATTTGCTTCTAAGTATAGACAGAGATTTAAATGCAGTATATCTAAATCATCTCCACTCTTGCAGAAATAACTGACATTTTCTGGAGCTAACAGTAATTGGCATTTTGAAACAATGCATTGAGGCCAGAATACCAGAACCTAGCCATTATGAGTCTTTCTGAATGGTTTGGTTTAAAGTGCCTTGGCTCTGTTGCTTTATGCAGATGTGGTTTCTCTGCGCTAAACCACCAACTGTTAGCAAAGCTCTGATTATCTTCCCTGTTACTGCTAAATGGACAGGGTAATTACTTGGCTTACGGTAGAACCGTAGAACAGTTGGCTACACACAGCCTACAGCTGATAGATTTAATGCTTTTAATGGAGCCATTATACTCTTATTTTGTGCATATTTCAAATTACTTTATATTTAATGCTATATTTGACTCTGTGAAATTGTTATAATTGCCGCACTATTACAGTAGCAGCACTCTTGGCTGTGCAACAGTCAGCAGTATTTGTAAAAGTGTGCTCTGTTCACTTGACTCCATGGTTAAGGCCATTCGCATTGGCATATTTCCCCCAACTACAATGCACTTCTTTTTTTTATTTGCATCAGTATTTGCACAATCAATGCAAATACAATTGCCTTGTGTGCACTAAAGTGACTGTAACTAAATATGCTTATTACAGCAGTAGATCACAAGACTTGTAGAGATGACGCTCCAGAGAACGATCATCCATCTCCAGTGATCATTATCTCTGAAGAGCTTTATACCATCTTTCAGCTTATTGGTTTGTTTTTGATTCCTTAAATGTGCTGCTTTGGTTCTCTCTCATTGCTTATCTCAATGTGTCATTTGGCCAATAAAGAAGCAACTGAAAACTTCCTGCTCAGGCTATGACAGGCTCCTTCAGTTAGTGAATCAGTGGATTTGGGGGGGTGGGGCAGATTACAGTGGGCATCACATGGCCAGAACCACTCCTATAATGAATAGTTGTGTCCCTCCATAAATGCTGGATGTGTCTATAAGGAGCTGCTCACCAAATCAATTTGAATGCTGTGTTCACATCTGCGCGTTTCCCCCAAGTTGCCCAAAAATCAGTTGTCTCTGAGCTGAACTAAAAGCAACAGGACATACATTTCTGAATACCTATGTTTGAGTTGCTGTATGTCGCCAACATTAAAGTTCCTCTCTCTGTTTTCAGGGGTTTCCTGGTGACTTTGGGGAGAGAGGACCACCTGGGCCAGATGGAGAGCCAGTATGTCACATGCTTACATACCCACACACACACACCTGATGTTTACTGTAATATTTTCACAGTGCTTGTGGCTAAATCCTCAGTTGGTCCAGCAGTTTGCCTCCGTGTTTGGGTTTTGTTTGAAGTTGTTCTTGACAAGCATCGCTATTGCATTTCATTTCGTGTCATGCCTCCAGCTGCTGTAGATCATTTTCCTTGGCACATATTTTCCAAAAAAGAAAAAGAAAAAAGAAAAACGCTGTATTAAATGTAGCTTTTCCTATTCGCCGCTTCACAGCATGAGAAGGCGATATCCAAGAATAGTAAATGATGTAATAGGATGCCATTTTGATGACTCCCCCCATTCATTAATGACGGACCAGCAAAACCCAGTCTGTGGCTTAATTCCGTCCATATGGAAGACAAATAATTGGACCGTAGCATTTCCACTATTTTTGATATTGCTACAAATTTGGGACTTCATAAGCCTGTCAGTGAAAACTCTAGAACAAAAACATAAAAAGTTCCACTTGATGCACGCTGAACTACGCATAATAAAAGTGAAGTTAAGTTAACACTTCACCGCTGACTTTTCCAATGAGTCAGGCTTTTAGAGCAGGCAGCTGAACTGCTAATAAATCCTTTCTTGGACCTGACGTTTATTCTCTTCCTGAGAAAAAGACCCATCATCCAAAGTGGATTGCGCATTAGATTTATCAAATGTTATTATGAAATAATCAGTATGACAAGCTTATGGAATATATGAAAATAGATTTATATATACTTTGCTTTTTATCTATCAGTAATTTCACATGCAGAGGGAAAGTTATCATCAGTAGATATGTATAGTTTGTTATTTGTTTATGGCTAGCTGCAGTAGAGAAATGTCCTGTAGATGGATGTACCATGAGATTACCATCAACCTCCTATGAGGCCTATTGGGAAGTCATCAGATTTGCTGTGATGATGGTGTTGGTGATGGCATCATAAGTCACCAAATAAGTAATCCTTTGAAGAAAAATTACCATGGCCATGGCTAAAACAATCAACTTCATGATGGTGGTAAATAAAATAAAATACCATTAAAACAATGACATCACCTTCTGCTTAATGTTGTCGCCTTTTGATGCCACCAGTTTTGCTGTTGCCATGTTGGTGCTTTAAAACTGGGCATCATGAGCAATAGGAAACTTGTCATTAGCTAATGAGGTTATCCAGTGCGCATACTTTATAATTTTCCATAAGTTACAAATTAAACTTTGTGTTTTCAATATAACCACCATTAAGTCATCAGGAAAGTGTTTACTGAGGTCACAGAACAAGGGAGCCAAGGTTTCTTTTCCCATAGACTTCTACACAACTGGAAGACTTTTTGCAACCAGTGAAGTCGCCCCCTGCTGGCCATTAAAAAAAAAAAAAGAAAGCAGGTCTCTTTTGCATTGGCTTCACATTTCCAAAGTTTAGTGAAAGAAACGACTTTCTTTCGCTAAACCTTTATGCTGTCTATGAATAAAAGTCAAAAATGAGTGAGATAGATTTTCTTTAACACTGAATGGGTAAACTGTACTAACTCCTGGATATTTCACTGGGTTAAAGTAAAACCTGTTAATGGCCTTAATTAGGATACAGTCTCTGTCCTCTTGTCTTTCTTTCTTTTCTTTCTTTTTTTGAGGTCGAACCTGCATATTTGAAAAAGCCACAGTGGGACGATGGTCTCACATCCCTTTTACTTCTACCTGAGACCCCTCACACACACACAAATATGCACACACATATTCATGCACACAGCCCCCTCTCATAAGCTGCGAAGAACACTGAGCCACTCTTCTGAGCATGTTTGTTTAAAAAAAGGGCCAATAACCCATGAAACTTGCTCCTTTTCCCTCTCTCTTCATCTCACTAACTCTCTCTCTCCTCCTCTCCAACTAGGGTAACATGGGAGCCCCCGGTCCAAACGGAGTTCCTGGACTTATTGTGAGTTGTAGTTTGTGTGTTTTCTGTGCACAATCTCGGCTGCAAATGTTTAAATGAAACTGAATATACCTGCAAAACTGGAAAAAAAGGAGAAAACTTTATTAGCTGGCATTTATGTCGCCTGCCAGTTTGGTGGGAATCTAATTCATATATTTAATATAGATATTAGGTGAATGTGGATGGCTCTTAGACACCAGGGCTTTTTTCACAGTAAGTGCAAAGCCTGAATTGTGCAGTTTATATCTGCTATTTTCTCACATGAAGAACAAGGCACTCGTGTGCAGCTTATCAATCACACAGACCTTAACAGTGCATCTTGTCCTCCTCTTGAAGCACCCTTTTAATAACTATTTTTAGAACAGAGCTGCCCCCCGCCCACCCATCACCTTGCCCTCCATGCTTGCCCAGCCCGACAGCCGCATAATTGTGTATGATTATAATGTCTCCCTGGTTTCTCTTGTTGCGTCCCGTCTTCACCCATTGCTGCCACTCCTCCCGACCTATTCTAGGCCACCGGTGGTGGTAGTAGGCCTGTAATTGAAGGACTCTGATTACAGCCCTAGTCTGAGCTTTGTGTCCTCTTTATCCGTCTTATCCGTCAGCATAATGTACAGTACATAGCAGCAGGACGGAGCGCCACTACAAAGATAAAAATATACAGTCACTCTTCTCTGGGGACTCCAAAGCTGAGAAGTTTTGGGTGAAGGCTGGCAACTACTGAAGTAGAGAAAATGTCTAGACAACGACTCTCACTTAGAAATACACTCAAAATAGATAGATTGTTTCTCTTTTCTTATTTTTCCTTATATTTAACAGTTGAAAAAAACTGAACCAAATTTTATTGTGTTAAATACTGCCATTCTGAAATACAAACAAGGCCTGCTTTGATGTCATGAAGCCTCATCTGTGGCAGTTTTTCACCAGTATGATGTTTCCGTGTCTATGATGATGCTAGGAATCACTGGAGTTCATTATCAGTCTTCTCCATTCGCTGAAATCACATCTCACATCACATGTAATCACATCTCACCATCTCTGTGTTTTATTTGCAATACCCTGACTGTTTATGATGCATTTTCACTATTAGTACAAGTGCATGCTACAATGCTGTTTGACATCTCTGTGCTGTTTGGTGTGCAATAGGATGTTTTTTCAATAAGTCCCAAAAGGTTGATTCAGTTCATCTAGACATAGCGTTTTCAGTAGGAGAAACGTTTCGTCACTCATCCAAGTGACTTCTTCAGTCTCAGCTTACTGCAGGTTTCCCCGATCTTATAAAGAGTACATTTGCACAATAACTGAAACTAGCCCACTGCATGATCAATGGGCTGTGAAGTCAGTTCCTTGATCATTAATATGCAAATTTTCATGACTGAAAACGCTAGATTAACAGAATCAGTCTTTTGCGATTTACTTACCTGGATGATTGAGCATGCATCAAGACATGGTTTTATAGGGTTTCATATGTGCATAAATACAAAAACAGGCCTTTTTAGCCTTTTGCTAGCTGGTTACTGGGCAACCTTTTGGCATCTCATTGTATCATGCATAACTGAAGTTTTGAGGCTACAAATGAATCAGAATCAGAATACGATGTTATGGTTGGGAAATAAAAATGATACGATCCCTTTGTAAGGTCTTATAGTTGTTAAAATGCAAAATCCAGGTTATAGATGCATTAGACAGATGGATTTCAATGTGTGCACAGAGCGGAGGCAAGTATTTCTCATTGCAGCATCATCCTCCAAAAACACACACAGAGACACACACAAAAATACATAAGGACCTTGCTCTTAGTGACTATTCGGTTTGAATACTTGAATACCCCAATACTGCAAATCTGTGTCTTTCGAATGTGCAAAATTCAGTTTCAGAGTTCATTTGTGGGGAACAAAATGTGAGTGAATCTGCTGTTTTAAGAGAGCAGCTAAGTGTCAAGTGAGAGTTCAGGTAGAGTGATAATAAACAAGAATTAATTGAAATCAAGATTAATGTGTTTCTTCATGCATTTCTAGCAATTTGTGAGCAGGAAATATGCCGTTGAAATTAACATTTAAGTGTGAGACTAGAGCACTGAAACTATAGAGCAGATCTTGTTGTTTTAGAGACAGATCAGTCCAGCAGGATGTGACTTAATTATCAGGTATTAGATTCCATTAGATTAGAAGTTTGGGGGGTACCTTTTAACTCGCAATACCAAATTAAGTGAGTTGCTCCGAGGTGCAATTTTGCAGCTTATACTTGATAACATCCTCTGTCAATTATTCACTGGGGCTAATGTTTGAAACACTAAGCCAAGGCTACTCTTTGATTTAAGCTTCAGATGCACAATCTTGGCTTCTGACCACAACATCTATTCATTCTTCCCGGTGTCAGTCATATATTATCATCCATTGTTTTATGTTGTGTTTGATGTGATAGCGAGGCTGGAAGCAAGACAGTGAATTTATTCTTAATCAATCCCAAAGAGCTCTCTTATTGTATATGTGTTTTTTACATTAATGAATGGGGCCTGGGCCACATCTTTGTTCGTTATGCATGTGATATCACTATTTATTAATGTGTTTCTTGTTTATCCCATCTTCTTGCATTAGGGAGACATGGGACCTGTGGGACAGATTGGCCCGCCAGGACCTAATGGACTGAAGGTAATCTCTCACACACATATAGAGATAGAAACTGTTGCCTTCACTGTCTTATTTTTATCAGTTATTGTATATGCAATAAAACAAGAGATTTTTAAGAAGGCCTATTTTAAGCTTTTGGATTTGGATTAGTTGCCAGTTATGTGCCGTAAAGATGCACTTTTGATCAAATTTGGCTTTTGGGGTGCCTTTCAACCAGTTTGTTGGTGCTTTTTCCAGGGGGTGCCTGGAAATCCAGGAGAACCAGGACTGAAAGGTGATAAGGTGATCTGAATATTCCTGTTATTGACCTGTGTTTAAGCAGCATGTGATGGATATGTAGTCTTTTGCATCCTACCGTAGATATTTCTGTCCAGAGTTTAGACTTTAAACAGCATGCTTTCATTAGGTGTCACCTGCAAATTAACTTATATAAACTTCTGAGGATTGTTTCTATTGGTGTAGATGAGGTTTCCATATGCATATTTTTGTGAAATCTATTATGGAAGCATTTTAATTGAAAGCAGCCAGCCAAGCTATTGAAGAGAATGAAAGAAAAGTAGACAGACATTGTCCTTGAAATTTAAAACAAAAAAACACACACAGCATGAAGAGACCACTCAGCACTGATGATTTAAGGAGGCTCAACAAGCAGGCCTTTTAAGGACAGCAGTAAAATCTGGCTGCCTCTACTAAAACCAGAACAGTGCACAATACCTTAATGATGGTAAAGCACAAATAGTCAGATCTGAAAGTGACTGAAAGACCTTCATCAGAGGCCTCATGTTTGAAATTTGGTTTATTGGACACTTCTCACTTTGCATTTGTAATTACTGCAGTTACTCTTTATTAATCATTTGTTTTGTACTGGAACGGCCTGCAAAACATGTGGTTTGACAAACTGCAGCAATGCCTTTCATAATACATACTGACACCACATGGAATAGTTGGCTAATCCAGTAAATAACACTCGCTGTGTGTGGATATTCATAAAGTGCAAACTGCTAATTAGTATTGTCTGTTTAAAAAAATAAATAAAAGCTTGTATTTGGAAAAGTGGAACATTTCATTCCCCCCTAATGGTTTCCATTTTTTTCTTTTTTTCTGTCCATACCTCATCAATCCGCATCTATGTATGCGTGTTCGTCTCCTCCTCTCTCTCTGGCAGGGTGAAATTGGGATTCCTGGAGAGCAAGGGGAGATTGGATTCAAAGGAGACAAGGTACGTCACCTTTGCAACACAGTTGTGCACGCCACACATGCACACGCTCTCTATCTCCCTGGTTTCCTCAGCCACCATACGGAACGCTACCTGCAGTACACTCGTGTTACACAGCCTTTGTCTTTGCAAAATGACTTTTCCAGATGTCTGCTGTTCAGCTTAAGGAAATTCATATGTTCTCCCTCCACACTGTGTGTAAGCAAAATTCAAATCCATCACAGAGCAGAGTGGCCCCAAGAGATAGCACAATCTTGAACAGAGAGTCATGCATGTCGAATGTCTGCTTTGCTAGAAAAGAAATGAAGCTTCTGATCCTGTCTGACTGTCTCGCTGAGTTTTTAACTTTTGTTTGTATTGGACAGGGTGTCCAGGGGGCCCCAGGTTTACCAGGCATCCGTGGGAAACCAGGACCACAGGTTAGTTCTTGTCTGGGAATGTATTAATGAAAACCAAGAATACATTTAACTGTTAAAATGTGGATAAGCAATTAGATAAGCAATAGTTTAGTTTTTTGTTTATTTGTTTGTTTGTTTGTTTGTTTTTGCCTTCATTGGTCCTTAAGCTATTTCCTTAATAGCCTTTGTGCTAACAGTTTGGCCAGAAAACAAAACTCAAGATATGTCTATTAGTTCTGCCAACAGACATACCAGTTAACTTAGCAGAAAGCTGAAAACTGCAAGCTCAGCAGTGTCAAAAGGTCCAAAATCTGCACATCGTGTAGTCTTTAATGTTTAAAGTAGTTTTTTTTCATCAACAGTAAACATAACTATTTTTATAGTGTGTTATGTCCAGGACTATTTCTTGGCCTGATGCAACAATTTCCTATCCATGAGGTTTACAAGCATCCATTAGAGTGTCCAGGAAGTCGCTGCTCTTTGCCAGGAAACTGTCACCAACATTATATCAGGTCAAGTGGCTCTATAGTGTAGTGGTTTCTATAGTTGCCTAACAAGTGAGAGATCCCTAGTCTGATCCCAGAAGGAGGCACAAACCTTTATAGGGTTGCATCAGATGTAAAAAATCTGCCAAATCAAACATGTGGAGCTACCAGCATTGCTGGTTCAGGACGTGGACAACTTGCTGAGACTTGATTGATCAGTGAGCAGTGCTTTTATACCTGTTGAGCTCATTTCAAACATAACCTGCTCCAGAAAAAATTAGGTCTTTTGCCTTGCCAATGCACCCCATTAATAAATGAACCACATTCATAAAACAGACAAACAAGTGGTAACACTGAAGTTACACGGATAAGCCCAAATCCTGCTTCGTAGTACAGGACTCAGCTGCTGGCTGTGCCAAATGCACAGACATTTGCAAATGTCACTGATCCTCTCATCTCATTTTCAGCATGATTTTTTTTTTATTTCTTATCACATCCAACTGTTTCAAAGTCTTTCTTTTTTACAGGGAAAGCCAGGAGAGAAAGGTCCCGATGGTACCCCCGGACCTCCGGGCCCTGAGGTTTGTATTTACTCCTTTGTTGTTGCATTTGATGTCTGTATTTCACAGACAGAATAATAATCAATGCCCTTTTTAATCTTGATAGGGTTTTCCTGGTGACATGGGACCACCAGGAGAGAACGGCCTTGAAGGACCAAAGGTTAGTAAAATCATGATCTAAGCTAAGCAGTCCCTAAACTAACTCATGATTCAAAACAGGGACAGAACTTGGCTGGTGCTCCACAGCAACACTGGGAGAGATACGGTGGCTCTTGGGCTAAATTATAATGCCAACCCCCTAATATTTACATGATGATAATGTTTTTATATTTTTTTTTAAGTAGGTGTAATACCACTGCCGTATTTTAGTTTTGAGCGTTACTTTTGCTTATACTTGATCATAAACTAAACATCATCTGGAGAAAGTTTCAGTAGATGATAGCATTTATTGGGGCGATCGTGGCTCAAGAGTTGGGAGTTCGCCTTGTAATCGGAAGGTTGCCGGTTCGAGCCCCGGCTTGGACAGTCTAGGTTGTTGTGTCCTTGGGCAAGACACTTCATCCGTTGCCTACTGGTGGTGGTCGGAGGGCCCGGTGGCGCCAGTGTCTGGCAGCCTCGCCTCTGTCAGTGCACCCTAGGGTGGCTGTGGCTACAATGTAGTTTGCCATCACCAGTGTGTGAATGGGTGGATGACTGGTTGTGTAAAGCGCTTTGGGATCCTTAGGGACAAGTGAAGCGCTATACAAATACAGACCAAGGAACTGTCCGATAACACCGGAGTCATGAGGATTCATCCTCTGGGGCCCATTGTTGTCTGTCTCAAATTTTTATGGCTGTCCATCCAATATAACTAACAGACCCGTATCATTTTCCCCATAACAGTGCTGCTACTGTGGCTCAAAACACATATGTAAATGCTACAATTACTTTTACAATTGTTTTACTGTTTTTTACCCATCAAGGGAAAACCAGGGGCTAGAGGTTTACCAGGCCCACGAGGGATCCCTGGCTTGGAGGTAAGACTCTCAGACGCCACCCACATAAGAATGACCCAACTGTGCCTGACAGGCATTCAAAGATTTATGGCACAATGAATTTTATTTATTTTTTGCTAAGGAACAGTTAATGTCCCTAAACATAAGCCATGCTAAGATCAATATCATCTGTTTCCAGGGAGACGAGGGCCCTATTGGACCACCGGGCCTAACAGGACTCGAGGTGAGTTATTGGTTAAACACCTGCTCTTATGAAAATAGAGGATACGAGAGAAAGATAGTCAGGTCTCATGTAGGCCAAAAAACAAGGCTCATTATTTTCCACCAGAGTATCGTAAGTTAGAATAACACAATGTGCGCATGTTTGATCAGTGAAAAACAAGGGCTATAATTGCCTGTTTCTGTAGTTGTATCGTATAATTTAGCATGTTTGTCTAAATTGTATCCCATGCAGAAGCATCCTATTTCTATCTGTGGTAAGCTCCTCACCAAAGATAGAGGGAGGGGAAGGGACAGAGCTATCACTTAGACTGTGAAAAGCATTGCAATGTGAGGCTAAATTTGTCCCCAAGCTTGACAATCAACTAAATTAATACTTGCTGTTTAAATTAGCGTGGTGTTTGCACCCCAGGGTTAAACTTTTACTACAGAGTAGACAGTAACCTAACCACAAAGACAGAAAGAGCTATACAAGATCAATATGTGGCTTGCTTTAAATCATGAGTTACTCCTTTTAATTCTCAGCCAGCTCCATCGTACGTATTTTAACTTCACTGCTTTAGCTTTATGCATGCGCAACATTTGCTGTGCCACAGTTAGAGATCATATGAACGGTGATAAAGTAGGCTCTCTTTGTGGGTTTTTCTTGCTTTGGACAAGTCAGAAGTCTTGTGTTCTGTGTCTTACACAGCCTCCTGTAGCCTCAGGAGATTTTACTCATGGTGCATGCAATTCTTGATCATGGCCACTAGGGGGCAATAATTGCCATCACCATGTTTATAGGTTGAACGATTTATAGGTGTCATAAAATGCTTGAAGACAGTAATGGGCCACTGCAGAAACATAACATTTGTGATTGTGATTATTAAAATATTTTTGAAATGACTGAAATTTTTAAAAATTATTTTCAGAATAAATATTTGGTCAAGCTTACGCTTCACAGCCAAACAAACTCAGATGCTACCTAAGTAATTGTCATCCCATCCTTTCTTCCACTCATCTGCACTTTCTTTCAGCCTAACTTCCTCCACACTCACCCTCCTCCCACACACTCGCCTGCATCAGACTCTAACCTCCTTTATGTGCTCCTTTCGAGGGGAAGCGCCGTACGACTCCTCCGGGAGTTGTGATTGATCTCTGGCCAGGTGCCGCAGGTCCTCCTACTCCTCCACCTCATCAGCTAGCTGTCTTTCAGCTTCAGCACAGACTGACACTCTGCCTCTGTGTCACTGCATTAGCCTCTCTCTTTTTTGTCCTCTCCCTCATCTTCTCATTTGCTCTTCATTTGTCTCTCTCTCTGCACAATGAATGATCTTCCTCTAATCTAAAAAAGATGATAAGAAGAATTCTTGGAAATCTCTAATTAACTGCAAGAATCTGCCTTCACCCTTTGTATCTTAGAGCCTTATCCAGCACTGCGTTGTAAAAGCAGCTGAGCAAACCTGAGTAAAACTTTGGTACCATTGAGTCACTCAATCAAGAACTATGGCTCAGGTGTTCCTGACCTGAAGGTGGTACTACCAGTAAAAAAGTCGTCTCCCCCCCTTACCTTCACCCACCTTAACCCCAGGAGTGACTGTCTGTGCAAGAGGAGCATTAGTCATTCTCTCACTCATTTTACAGCTCGCCAAAATGTACTGTCAGCAATACCTGTAAACCGTACTGCATATGTGCGTGCACGGTGAACCGACTGTTTCCCGCTTCTCTCCTCAAGCTGTCATCTTACAGGAAAAAGATCCTTTATCCTTGCTGAGAATCTGGGATTAACATTAATGATGCGTTCACTGGCAAGTACATCCCTCATTATTCATCATCCTGTGCTAAAATCTTTCAGGGTAGAATGGGCAGGCAAGGATTCCCTGGGATACTCGGTACAGAGGGAGTTAAGGTGAAAAAAAAAACCCACTTTTATTTATGATTTTGTTTTTATTGCTTTTTTGGCCAAATATATTGAAGAACATTCAATTCATTATTCTAATCTTTTAAGTAATTGCATATTTCTCTCTGCAGGGAGAGCCCGGCATCACTGGAAAAGTTGGACCCATGGGAGAGAGAGTAAGAAACCCTTGGCGGCTTGGCTGCTTTTTGCCAATTCATTAATTCAAACATCTATTAATTCATCCATTCAACATGTTTCAGGGCTTGGTGGGCTTCATTGGACCTGTGGGAGAGGTGGGACTGGCAGGAGAGAAGGTAATAATTTGCGTTTTTTTCCCCATGAATTTATTTCAATAGTCTTTACAAGATCACGTTGAAGAGAAAACACTGGACTTGTGCAATTTTAGGGAGATCGAGGGGAGATGGGCCTTCCTGGACCACCTGGAGAAAAGGGACCAACGGTAAGACAGAATGACAGCTAGAGTGTGGAGGGCTTTCACACTGAGAAAGAATGACGTTTGAGTCTGTTAAAACGTGACCTTAAGATTACATTTCCAAAGAAGGTATCTTGTCTTTGTTAAAAATCCTAAGAAATGGTCATTTTAGATTAAACTGTGTCTGTTATTCCCATGGGAATATAGTGCTGTGAGGGATTAAGCACACATGTACCACAAGAATATGACAGAATATGTTGGGGGGGGGGGGGGGTTTCCTCAAAGCACAGCTCAGTCGTCACAGTTCAGGCAGCTTTAAACCCTGTATTCTAAGCAGTGGTTTGGCAATTGACAAGAGGGCTTTAACTGGGGAACAAAGCTTGTAATATTCATTCAAACAAAGTTGGAAATAATTCCAGTGAATCCGTTGTGATATTTTACCTCTGTGATGGTATTAATGGTCAGAAAAGTGCTGACAGTCCTGCTGGAAACTTTTCAAAAGAAAACACAAAAATAGAAAGAGGATATTGGGTTTTTTTTCGGACATCACTTGATAATTTCCTTACCGTCTGCAGGACCTCTGAGTAATTCCTTCAGTGTTGTGCACTTTCCTTTACCCCAGGGGTGTCAAACATACAGACCGCAGGCCAGAACAGGCCCGCCAAAGGAATCCAGTCTGAACCAATGTAGGATTTTGCAGAGTTTAAACGTTACTACAGTAGCCTTTCTTTATAATGACAGTGGAGTGAGACAGTCACTGGGGAAATGGCCGGTTTATTCATTTTCAGTGATTGTAGTCCATTATATTAAAAGAAAGGGTAACATTTAGAGATGTTTTGGGGTTTTTTTATAGTTTGTTATGCAATGGTTTCACTGGCCTGGCACGCTTGAGATCACATTGGTCTGTATGTGGCCCAGGAACTAAAATTAGTCTGACATCTCTGCTCAGTGGTTAGTACTGTCGCCTCAGGTCCTAAGTTCAAAATGCCATCGAAAATATCACAAGATAAACTCTCCTAAAGGGATTTGACTGAGGTGCCGGCTTAGAGCTCCACACAGTGGCTGCACGCTGCTCTGAATACTGAGGATGCATTGAGCGTTGAGAGGAAGATCAATAAAGGATAACTTAGCTTAACCTGCTCTTTCAAACAGAGTTCGTCGACTCTTTATCGTGTAGGGTCTTTTACGGACTTGTCTAATGTATGCGACTTGCCGGAGTGGATAAGAATTTAGTCATCATTGTTGCTCAAGCAGAGAAGGTTTTCCTGCTGGCTGACAGCCAGTTAGATTTCTCAGAGGACTTCACCACACACACACATACTCACTCACAAGGAAGTTCTGTATTGGCCAGCTACAAAACAGAAACAGACCCTCTGGAAAAGTCTGCATCATACAATGTGAGGGGAGCTGACCAGCAGACATCTATAGTCACTAACAGAGTGCTCATACTGTAGGCTTCTTTGTTTTATTCCTGCATGACATCAGAACCGCCTACTGTGCTATAAGTTTGTGTATTGGATAGATTTTTATTGCACTCGGCTGTCTTGAGTAGTTCTGACTGAAGTACTCCCCATTATATAGTTATGCTTTTACAAATGGCCTGGCCAAAAACGAGCTACTATAAAAAAAAAATGTAAAAAGAAGAGAGAAAAGCAGCCAAAAGTAGTATGTTTTCCTACATAAAATCATCACCTCATGCTGTCTATTTTCTTTCTGTTCCGCTTTCTCTTTCATCGTTACATAAAACGTCTTTTCCAGCAGACAGAGCTTTTCTCCAGATGTATGTTTGAACTACCAATGAGGGTGTGAAAGACGGACAATTTATTGCCTCAAACACATCTCAGTGCAATTTGGAGAATGAGTTTGGCCTTTATGTCAACACCTTTCTGCTTAAATAAACTTGCTTTGTAATAGGTGAAAGTGTCAGAATATCATCATTTTGTGTTGTTTTTGTGTTTTTTCCTGACGTGTATCAGTTGTAATCGATGTACTGAGTTTATGTTTATCTATGTTTGCACACCAGGGTCACCCGGGGGGACCGGGTGAGGCCGGACCTACTGGACCACAAGGAAGACCAGTGAGTCACCATCCTTTTGCATATTTTGCACTTTCTTTTTACTCATTCATAGTTGTATATGATCCTCTCTAATCATAGTGATGACAGTGAGTGGTTACTAACAATAGTAAGTGTCTGTTTCACAGACATTTAAAATATTAATCAATTAACTTTTTCTTTTTTTTTTTAAAGTATTTTAATTTCATTCGTAGATTATATTTTAAGTAATTTTAATAACCCACATTCTGTAGGTTTCTCTGAGCATTATAAAACCTGGCAACCTCCCGTCGAATGTGCATTACCCTCCTGTCAGTCAAAAGCCCAACACCTATAACCAATTAGAAGCTTCCCCTGCCCCCCGTTCTTTGCCGTGGCCGGCTTTGACAGAGCGGGCCAATCATTGGTTGAAGGCAGGGGCCACTGAGCCACCAAAACAAATATAAATATGGGGGATTTGGGGTGCAGCAGGACAGGATTCCAGAGCAGACCCTTTAATTGGTGTGAGTGACAGATCTAACAACAAACCCTATAGTGTGCTCCCGAGGTCAGGCTGCCCTGCAAGGTCAACAGCCAGGGGGCTCTGTGGTCTGTCAGTGTAAACCTTTGTTTTATCTCTGTCCCTCCCCCTTGTTTTCTCTTTATCCCCCATTTTCCTTTGTTTATCAGGGCCCTCCTGGAACGACTGGGCCAACTGGTACCAGAGGGCCTAAAGGCTTGCGGGTAAGTCGAAAGGTTCACGTGAGTTTAGTTGGGTTTTTTTTTTTCTTTGCAGCTTAGGTGTTGACTGGCGTTCTGCAGTCACTGTGTCACAGATCCCAGCCTTGAGAACAGATCATAGACTTGGCAGAAGAGTGTGTATATACACCATTTTTTGTTTTGCGTATCCTCTGCTGTGTGTTTATAGGAGATCTGTGCTACTGCTTTCAGAGCTGTTTGGTGAATAAGGTGAAGTGATGTGTGGCAGGATCTGAGCTGATGTTATAGATGTTTTAAGGGACGTGGGTGCTTCTGCACACATATGCAGTTTCAAAGTTGAAGAATTAATGTTTTAGCCTTTTTTTTGCGGGGGGGGGGGAGCGAACTCATTATGAGCACTAGAAGAGCTCTGGTGATGTAAACCAAATGCTCTTTTCTTCATTCCATAGAAATGGAACAATAACTGGTGGTTATGGGAACGAGTCATTGTTAGTCCAACATCACTTCTGTTGTGGTTGGAAAATGGGATCTGGCTTTTGTTGCTCATCTGGAAGCTGCTTGCAGATAAATATAGTAAACCAGGGAAGCAGGGTTTATGTTAATGATTAACTAAGATTGGATTGAATTATTCTGCTTTAATAGCAAACTCACACATCACTCACAAATGCCACTGCTGAGGCTTTATAATATGACCCGTGACTAAGGGAGTAATTCCCCTGTAATTAAATAGAATTTCAATGGATTTTATTTGAAATTACACTAAAAACACTAGAATAAGTAACAATATTTAAGTACTGCATAAGCAATTATTAGTAGTGCGCAATTTCATGCTAAGTTTGCAGAAAAAGAAACAATATTTCATCATCTTACATCATAAACACGCTCTACTTATCATGGTGGAGGCCACATTATGGAGTGGATTAATCTTGCCTTTTTACATCACTTTATTTAATATTCATTATGTTGATGTGTATGATGGATGTTGTCTTATTATATTATTCAATTCTACTGTAACCATAAAATGATGGAGCAAAGTCTAACTTAATTTTTGGTCTTTCACAATTACTGTGTAAGCAAAACGTTCAAGCTTCCAGGCAGTTTGCAGGAAAGGAGACACGCCTTTCCTGCAAACTACATGGAAGTTAAACCACTTCATAATACAGTCTGTGCCCCAAAAACTATTGTGTGCTTACAATGTAAGATAGGGAAATATTGTTTGTTTTTCCACAAAATTACCAAGAAATGACTTATGCAGTGCATGAAATTACTTTCCATGAATAATTTCCTTTTCTATGAAATTCCTGAATTTACTTAAAACTACTCCTGCACTACCTAAAATTACTTACCGATTACTTAAATTTACTGTTTCTTTGTCTCCTTAAAAACCTACTTGTTGCCCTCCTATTCTTTCCCCCTTGTTCGCCCTTTTTCTCCATTTTTAAAAAAATCTCATTATTAGATTTTTGATTTATTTTTTATTTTTTGAAACCTCGTGTAAATACATTAGCATTATAAATGGCACTTATGAAGTTAATACTTATAAAGTGATAGGAGCAGCGAGTTACATTATTTTACACTGCTTAGTACTCTAGAGGAAGTTAGAGCACCTGTGTTTTTTTTCTCTGTTACGACCTGTTTAACACTTCCCCAGTGTTGTGGCAACAAACTCTTTGCAAATAGACTTCAGATAATTAGCAGACACAGATAATGCCAGTAACAACACTGCGATTTCTTCAATTTCAGCGTTGCGGGAACAATAAAAAACACATAAAACCCCAGAGTGCTTTCTTGAAAGACGATAACCAGGCAAACAGGGACTAAGACCTGAAATAGTATCTGGATAAATACCATCAAGAGAAATTTCAATCCTCAATAATTGATGTTGCTCATAAAATCTGACATCTGGAACACCATGAAGCAAATAAATTCTTGAAGTCCCACTTAAACATCTGCTTTCAGGTGCAATAATAATGAATCCTGAGTAAGATAATGAGGACAATTTCTATAATTATGTTTACGGTGACTTTTACTTCACAGTTGTGAACATACCTCAGTTTTAGCCCCTTTTTAGTTAGGGAACTTTTTACTTCTTTGGGTCCAATGAGCCAGCTGGAAAGTGGCGTAAAAAAAGCATTGAGCTTCTTCATCTGAAGAATCTATGGGAGATGGGCCTGGCCACGCTCTAAAATCTCAAGTTGTGTTTTCAGTTATTACTAATGTCAGCAGCTTCCACTGCCAATAAATCTGCCTGCTGCTACATGACTTAGTACACTGGGTCTTCCAAGACTAGAAACCTGAGCGTAGCAAGCCAGGAGTTACTCTCTCACAGACTCTGTTAGCAGCTGTGATCTTATGTGTGCGACCGCAGACACTCATATCTCACCCCCGCTGTCTAAATGCGCACAACCTCAGTCCCAGCAACAGTTTTTAAAATAAAAAGCTTTTAGTGTATTCAGCATTCACCACGTTTAATGAAGCAAGTAAACACAAACTGATTGGCACGATAAAGTCCGAGCTGACACAAGCAATTTAATGTTCCCGTTGGACAGAAGAAAATGAAGTAAGGCTGTTTTGTAACAGCTCTGTATCAAAGACTTTGTCACGCTTGGATAAAGCATCTTAGTGTGAAATGAGACTGCATACAACTACCATTTGAACAGCATATGTGTTTTAGATTTTCCCTACTTGGATTGAAGCACGAGGCCTTGTGAACTGTGACATCTGGCTCTGCTGAGACTGTTTTCTGACAGGCATATATTGTGGAAACACAAAAGAGGGAGATAAAACTGCACGCCAACATCAGCCTATAGGGCGTCAGTGCCACTGCTGTCATTTTCTGTGTCTGTTTTTATTTTCTAGTTTAAAAAAAGAAGAAAAACGTCTCCAGTAAAACTTGCGGATGTCAGCTACAAAGAGTCACCCAATCACGTTTTGCCTCTAATAACTCCTCATGACTTCTAATCACTAGAAATCCTCTGCTAATGTTTTCCATACTGAAGAGTCATCTCATCATCCCTCCCTCTTGGCACCATCCAAGACGGCCAGTTCATATAGATGCTGACTCTTTTGGTGTGGTTAATCAAGTTTTAGGCATAAATATGTTTTCTGTGCCGAGATAGAATAAAATATTTTCCGTACATGTCAGCTAATTAGTCTATGTAAACGTAACCAGTGGGTAGCAGGTACCCCAGACAGGAATGTTAATGAGCGGTGCTCATCCAGCTCCATGTATAATAGGCTTATAGCACTTCAGCTAGCGTTGTTCTGCATGGGCCAAACTCCCACTGTGCCCAGTCATCAATCACTCTCACAACAAGGCCTCCTTTGTGAGGCTGTCATGTTATAGGCTTTTTGATTTCCACTCTAAAATATTTCAATTATCCTGAGAAAGGGGCAGTTAAACGCTCACTCTTTATAGCCACCAAGATCCGATCACCCCGACTGACCCGTGTGGTGTCACACAGTCACAGCCAGTGAGCATCTTCTCGATATTAGTGAGCCAGTATCTTCCACAGCGCTGACAACAGATATGGTTTGGATGCAGGTGCAGAGCAGATGGACTGTGCTGGTATACTGCCTGGTTCCTATTTATTTTCACTACTCACAGGACTAGCAGGCCTTTTAGTAGATTTACAATGATTATCTTTGACAGGTGGATACAAGTAAAGTAAAGAGACAGCTGTTCTAAAAATGTGTGTGTTTAAGTGTGAGCAGTATGCATATGTGCATGCCCTGACTTGTAATTGAAATAATGCGTCTTATAGATGAGTGACCCTCAGTGCCATCAGTGAGAATATACAGCAAAGTAGCTAGTTTTACATGAAGCCTCTGTGCACATGTACATACATTAACTATAAGCACACAGATATATTTATTTTTGATATTTCCCTGATAAATGCAGGACACTGTAAGTGTTGGTGTCAAACTGTACAGAGATGTTTGTTTACAGTATGTTGTGGATTTCTGGCAGTATTACAGTGACCTCTGTTGGTGAAGTGACAGCTGTCTTGTGTTTCAGGGAGCGAAAGGGCCTGACGGTCCAGCTGGAGAGATTGGATTAGAGGGCCAGAAGGTAAGGATGCTGGGATATACTTTTATCAAATCACGCAGACACAATTCAGAAAAAAAGCATATAAGAGAACAAAATTGCCAAATAAGCAACAATCAGCACAAAAAATAGCTACACATCTTCTTTTTTCCATTCTGAAACCTGGAAATATGAAATAAACTGATGTGTCTGGACAGTTGCTAGCACTCATCCTTCTTCCTTTCTGCAGGGTTCTGATGGTCCTCCAGGAAAATTAGGTTTCCCTGGACCGCAGGTAAAGCTCCTGCGGTACCTTTCTGATTTTCCACTTCATCCTCTCATGTACTTTTTTGGTGCTTATGTTCCTCCCGAGGAGTGAGACGTCAGCATAATTTAGAGGACATACATGATACCGACAGTGTGGAGACCCACAGTCTGTGGCCTAGATTTACATATATGACAACTTATTGTTCATTTTATTTGATTTTTTTTGTTTGTTTTGAGACTTTGAGACTTATCTGAGCAGCTGTTGCAGTACCTTGTAGTGATCTTTATTTATAGTAATGGTTGTAAATGCAACATGATAGGAATCAGTGTAATAGATTTCACAAAGATACACTTTTTTGTATGGATAGACAGGCAAATAACATATCGTATGTGTTATTACATCATCAAGTTTATAAATATGCACTGTAGAACCATTTTGTTTTAATTCTTTTTTATGTCTTTCCAGGGAAAGCAAGGAGAACCAGGAGAAACTGGACCTAAAGGATTTTCTGTAAGTTCATTATAATCATACATGTGAATGTTGAACAAATACAACTGAGGAAGATTAGATGAAGTCATGAAACTCCACTCTCTCTATTTTATAGTTGCTGATGTCATTTTCTGAATATACTGTATCTGACATCACGCCTGAAATGCAGTGCTATTCTTTTGATTTTTAAATGGGATTTGTCAATTTTCAGGGTATCCAGGGGCCTTCTGGATCTCCAGGGGACAAGGGAATAGCGGGCGAGCCAGTATGAACCTCTTCCATCTTCTCAAATATGTCTCTTGGATTCCTTCATCATCTTTACACCTTTCCTGTTTTGATATCTCCGACCATCCACAGTCTCTTTCCTTCCTTTTCAGTCTTTTGCAGTATTTTCATTGCAGCTCATCAAACTTCCTCTCCCTTCTTCTGAGAGTTTTAATATTAATAATTCCTTTTTGGTAGAGTAGTTCACTCTGCCCAGCCCTGTTAGCTCCCATAAGCCAGGAGCTAGTTTATGAGACATTTTTGAGTGCCTATTAAAAATATATTTGCCTGTATTAAATGTTTCCTCTGGCGTAGCCAGAGAATTGTCTCATTCTTTGCACATCTGTTCTGTAGTGACAAAAAACAAGATTGATCTTTGAAAAAGAAACTCCGCATTTATAGAAGCGCTAAACTGCTGAACTTGCAGGGAAGTAGACGTGATTGCTATTGCTATAATAGATCCAGTCTTTACTTTAAAAGATTTGCTCTCCTTCTTGTGGCTTTGTTTTATTGAACAGCGGGACAGGCAGAGCACAAATAGAGGCTCAGAAATGTGTCTGTTTGCATGCATACTGACTTTCCCGCAGCAGCACTGGAGACCCCATCCCTCTTTGTTTTCATTAATATGACAGAGTTACAGGCTGATATTCTCCTGTTTCCTGTTTAAGTAGAAAACTGATCACTAACATAATTTCTCTTGCTGTATACTTCACAGAGCACAGAAAAATCGTATTTTCCATTCATTCTTCGTAATTATGTTTTTTGTGCTGCAGTCTTGTAGCTAGAAGGTCTGCAATGTACCCTGACATTATTTATGAAGTTTTTGTGCCAAAGCATCAGCATTTAAGAAGTAGGATCGGTGACACAATTAGTCTTTGCATTCAGAGCCAAACTGGGTACTGCAAGCTTACTGATTTATCTGCCACTGGCACACTCACAGTAAACATCAGCGAGATTTTCCTTTTTCTTTTTCTTTCTGTGCACATGACAATCTAGTTGATTTTAATTAGGCTGAAACATCTCTATTTCTCTTGTCATTTAGGGACCGGCAGGGCCACGTGGGACTATCGGACCTTTGGGGGAGACTGGTCAAAAGGTGAGAGACCTCGCTTACAGACAAGCGTGCATTCATATTCCACATGCAAAAGGTTGCGCTATTTATTTGCATGCACAAAAAGGGTGTTGTGAAAACTAAATGAATAAATATGTGGCATCTGTTCCTCATCCTACCCCAGTGGATCAATAACGCTCTCTAATTTAACCAATCTGGCCGATTTAATCAGTCAGCTACATAACAAGGGGTCTTTTTTTTCCCCTCTCTCTCGCCACTGTCTTTTGCCAATACATACACAAAAGTTGAGCTATTATTCATATGAAATGTCAAAGAGTCATCTGCTGTTTTCCTCTCATCTTCATCATCTTCTTTTTTTTTTTTGAACATAAAAAGACAATCTGCACAACTCTTTTATTTCTTGTCTTTGGTAATGAGCTGTTATTGTGGCACATTTCCGCACTGCATTTGCCAACACTTCTGTGTATTTTCAAGGGTCCTCCAGGAAAAGTGGGTGAACCAGGACTGCCAGGCGAGCCAGGGGAGAAGGTGAGAGAATAATATTGTTGTAGTTTTAGCTGGGCATGCTCTATGTTTTTACTCTGTAGTGGTAAACAGGATATCAAAGTTTAAGAGCTATCTGTGTTTATGTGTCAGGGAGCCATTGGACTTCCTGGGAATATCGGAGAGCAGGGACTAATAGGACAGCGGGTATGTTTATCTGAATTATGTTGTACAGTCTTCTTTGTTCTTGTTTCTTTCATAAGCATAATATATTTATATATTTATATATTTGTGTGTGTGTGTGTGTGTGTGTGTGTGTGTGTGTGTGTGTGTGTGTGCAGGGAGAGCCAGGTCTAGAGGGAGAAGCTGGTCCGGCTGGTCCTGATGGAACCAAGGTGAGATGTTTTTTCCCTTTCGTGATGTAACTGTCCTCCATGCTGTATTCCAAACCACAGCATTAGTTTTGGTGTGTAAGAGTGCCGCTGTCCATCGTGCACCTTCAGGGGGAAAAAGGTGACATGGGTCAGGAGGGTGACAAAGGAGAAAAAGGTGAAACCGGACAAAAGGGAAAGGAGGGCCCACCTGGAAGTCCTGGATTCACTGGTGTCAGGGTAAGTCACCTGTCTTTCTTTTAAAATTCATACACACACGCACAGACTTTTAAACCTCACTCTAAACCTTTTCTCATGGTAGGGTCCAGAAGGAAAGCCTGGCAAAATTGGGGAACAAGGCAAACCAGGGTCAAAGGTGCTAGAATCAAATAACCTAACAAGTATTCACAAATAATAACAAATACACAAATGCTGTGTGCTCAGGTATATTCTAACTCTTCTTATCCTGTACGTTTAGGGTGCCAAAGGTAATCAAGGTCACCTCGGGGAGACTGGGTCAGTGGGGAAGACTGGACCGCCAGGTTTTGTTGGGCCAAAGGGTTCCAGAGGAACTATTGGTCATGTGGTAAGGTGGAATAGTAATGATGTAAATCACAAGCACTTTGCGTAATAATCCTTTAATAGATAAAACAATTGAAAATGCAACATTTGTTTTCTATAGGGAGCTCCCGGTCGAATGGGTCAACAGGGGGAGCCTGGTCTTGCAGGTTATGAGGTAAGATTGTTTTGTTAAGGTTATACATCAGAGTCAGCACAATGAAGCATTTGTTATAGTTAGTTTAGATAATGTGACTTTTTGCGACTTTCTTTGCAGGGCCATCAGGGACCTCAAGGCTCCATAGGGCCTCAGGGACCAAAAGGTGAAAAGGTACGCATTGCTCACTTTACGTGGCGTGTTTCTCTTACTCTTTCACTGTATCATAGGCCAAATCCTTATTGCGCCCCTGGAATAAGCTGAATATGTAACACTCAGGGGGCATTTCAAAAAAGCTTAAAATCACCAAGAAAGTTTGTATTACTCGAAAACATTTGGGTAAAGTTTTTCTTACTTTTATGCTTAGGGCGAACAAGGGGATGATGGGAAGGTAGAGGGTCCTCCTGGTCCTCCGGGTGACATGGTAAGTCACACCCAACTTACTTTCCTTTCTCTTTCTCGTGTTTGTTTTCTATACAGTTGCAGAAATCATGTCATTTTCAGTTTATTAATAGACTTTGTATCTTATCAGGGACCTCCAGGGGACAGAGGAGAAAGAGGGGAGCCAGGAGATCCTGGGTACAAAGTGAGGACCATCCTTCCACTTGATTTTTTATAATATTCATTTGTGATTATCTGTTTTATAATCTGTTGTTATGTTTTAGGGGCAAATTGGTGTGGATGGTGAGCGAGGTAGACCCGGTGCTTCTGGACTGCCAGTAAGTGCCAAAACCTGTGATTTTCAGGCATACAAACACCAGGGACAGTCACCTGGTTTGTCTTTACATGCTTTCATTAACACGATTGTCAATTTCAGGGACATCCTGGACCTCAAGGGCAGCAAGGACCCAAAGGGGCTAAAGGAGATCAAGTAAGGATGGGAAACAAAAATGATGATGTGTGTGGGGTTCAAGGTTCTCAGCGATATGTTACAGTTGGTCTACAGCTTGGGAAATGGTCCAGTCTGCATAATGAGTCCTTTGACATACAAAGCTAATATAAAATGCAACTATCAATGTACAATTTTTAAATGACATATTTGTAACATTTTGGCACTTTGGTGTAGGGAGGTGGTAGGATGGAGTGCTTACTCCATTACCTAAATAATGTGAACAGTTTTGCTAATAAAAACATTTATAGGATACTAGTTCAATGCATAAAAAGTAATTACCTCATATAAATGTGCATCATATTAACTCTATTTATATAGAGACATAAATAGCTGCAAAAGGATCAGCAGGTTTCTGCAAAAGTTGAAAAATGAGCTGATATTGTACATGATCAGAAAAATTTACCAAAGAGTACAGCACTGTGCAATGTGGGCTAACAACAAAAGATCATCCCAGTAAGCATTTAATATTACCAGAGATGTGTTTTAAAAATGTCAGTACACACCTTTAATAATCAATACATGCTCAGTAACTGCACACTTAAAACTTTCTATCTCTCATTCTTAAGGGTCAGAAAGGCAAACAGGGTCAGCCAGGACCAAAAGGAGCCAGAGGACCAGAAGTAAGTGACTTGTTTTCATACACCCACAGAAGGTTCATTTAGTGTTTAATTAAAAAGAAACGTTTTTGCAAATTATCTGTCTAGAAAAAATGTGTTTTCAGTAAAATGGATTGTCTTCATTGTCAAGTAAAATGAGCTTAAATGATGCATTTCACAGGATTTGCTGTAGTTATTTGATAAGCCTGCTCTGCTCTGTAGGGTGTAGGTGGTCCTCCTGGTCCTAGAGGTGTGGTGGGCCGAGAAGGTCAGGAGGGTGTACCCGGGGTGGATGGAGTCCCAGGAAAAGATGGCAGCAAAGGAATCCCGGTGAGATGATCAAGGAAATCATACTATTCATTTCATTAGTGGCCATTAAATCCTGTTTCCATCCAGGAAATGAGTTTCACAGATGCGAAACAGCCTGATGAATTTGCTTTTGAATTTTGTCTTCTTAATGCCACTATCAGGACAAAACCTTGTTTATTTTATCAGCTCAGTTAAACATGTTCTTCTTCCTCATTTTACCTTCACAAAATGAATCTAGGGAGAGCATGGTGACGATGGGGAGGCTGGTCTTCCTGGAAAAGCTGGCTTGCGTGGTAAAACTGGCGTTCCAGGACTCCCAGGAGATCAGGGAGCTTTTGGACCAAAGGTAGGAGGGATGTTCTTTTCAATTAGCAATAGGTACCTCAAATAAGGAATATACTAGTACAGTATGACAGCCTTAATAAAAATGCAGTCATTCATCCATTCAGGGTGAGCGGGGTCTTCCGGGTCAGAGCGGACCTCCTGGAAAAAGAGGCTTCAAAGGTGGAATGGGATTGCCAGGGCCACAGGGCGACAAAGGACCTAAAGGACAACCTGTGAGTGTCAGCAACAGATATAGTAGTATGCATAACAAGGAGTAGATGTTGAGTTATATTTAATTTTCCTTTTAAATTAATTCTTCATTAAATTCTCACTCAGGGTGACACAGGAGAGTCGGGTTTTCCAGGAGTTCTGGGAGTTTTTGGACCAAGGGTAAGTGTACAACAAAACGCTAATAAAATTTTCCACACATGTTTGAGGCAGTTCATTTACAGTACACAGTCATTATTATCTAGATGAGGACAGAATAGTGCAGGTAACTTTGACAACACGTGACAATGACATTGATTAAGTCAGGAAAAGAACGAAAAGGAGGAGCTCAGATGGGGGTGGGTTACAAAGCGGCTTGCAGTTGCACAGCAAATGCAAACTCAAGCAGCATAAACAGTACGCCCTTTATGATCATTCTTAATTGAATGCATTGAAGGGTAAGCCATCATCTGGTCTGCCAGGACTTCAGCTGAACTTGACTTGGTGCCCTGTGTGAACTCACACTACACTTGATTTGTTGTTCAGGTCTAGACTAGATGTTGCAACTCCTGGCCCTGACTAAGCTGAAATTGTTGGTGCTTGCACAAGTTTGTGTTGTGTACTATTATAAACCTATAAATCACATTTTATACAAACGTCAAATAAAATAATGTCAGCTGATGTGTGACTAATCATGTGACATGGCGGGGAAGACCACTATAGCTCATTTTTCCTAAATTCAATTCAATATTGAAGCCATCAGAGCTTATCCAGTGTTCCGAGATGAAGCAAAATCTATAGTCAGAGATAGGTTAGTGTAAACATATGTTTTAGGCCAAACTGACAAAGTGTGTAATGGCTGTGTGTAAATATGTATCACTTTCAGGGGCCTCCAGGAGACTTTGGGCCAAAGGGCATAAGAGGGCCAAAAGGCCCCCAAGGATCAGTGGTAAGTAACGTGATGATTTAGATCATTCTGATAAAAAGCTCTGGAATGCTCATTCTTTTTTTTTCTCCTTTAGGGCAGACGAGGAATTGTTGGTCCCATAGGAATTATTGGTCCCAATGGAAGAGCAGTACGTTTTGTACATGACAGAAGCTTTGACATTTCTCTGCGCTGATGTCTTTCAGCATACTCACTGGTTTATGTACACTTTACAGGGTCCTCGAGGACAGAAAGGGAATCGTGGCGAGACTGTGAGTTTTCTTTGTCTTTTATCATATCTATCACTTGTTTTTTCCCATTTGTTTACAATAAGAGTGCAAAAAGCAGAGTTGATGGCAATATTCAGGCTAAAAATATGTTTTTCTCTCTCTGAACAGGGAGCTCAAGGTCCAAGGGTATGTTTGCACAGCATCGTCTTTCCCTCCTGTTACAATGGATTTTAATTTTACTGTGGTGACTTGAATGACAAAAAGTTAATATAGAAATTATGTTCTCTTCCCTGTTAGGGATCTCCTGGACCTCGTGGACCACCTGGACGTCCAGTAAGTGTTTGTTTTTTTTCCCTCAGCGTTTAACCAAATATTATTTTCCAGCTTGCATGCACGCAAGCTTAATGTCTAATGCCTGTTTTTTATTTCCTTTAGGGTCCTCCAGGTGTCCCTCTGTCATTTGTAAGACATGTTATACTTGCTGGTTTCATTACACTCGATATGTGTTAGAAGATACAATGTCACTGATTCAATTCAAACTGGGGTTTTTTGATGTAGAAAGAAGATGGTGTATTGTTTATGGATTTACCCACCCCACTCAGGACTGAGGTTAGTGGAAAATGCTGATAGTGTTTCCCCATTGTTATACTTTATAATCTGTTGACAACTTAAAAGACTCTTGTGTTTTTAGAATAAGCCTGTGATGGACCTGCCGATGCTGGACCAAGGTGCAGAGATCTTCAAGACCCTCCACTACCTCAGTAACCTGATCAAGAGCCTGAAGAACCCACTGGGCACTCGGACCAACCCTGCCCGCATCTGCAGGGACCTGCACAGCTGTGAACAGAAGTTAAATGATGGTGAGAATGGTGTGCACGGCACAGAGGGTGAACAGTTTGTGTATAGATAGTCGAATGATCCTAAAACATGTTTTTATTTTCAGGCACGTACTGGATTGACCCCAACCTGGGTTGCATGTCAGACACAATAGAAGTCACCTGCAACTTTACCGGAGGTGGACAGACTTGCCTGAAACCATTAACAGTGTCCAAAGTATGCATGAGATAGTAATATCCCCCAGTTTCCACAAAATTATAAAATCTTTACAAAGGTTACACATAAAACAAACTTGTTAACCATCTCCTTTTCTCTAGCCAACAGTCAGTGTTGGTCGTGTTCAGATGAACTTCCTCCACCTGCTGAGCTCAGAGGCCGTGCAGCACATCATCATCCACTGCCTGGATGTCTCTATTTGGAGGTCAGCTGAGGATCAGCCTGTTGAACAGGGGTCTGTGAAATTCAAGGCCTGGAGTGGGGAGGTGTTTGAGGTGGGAGGAGAGCTGGAGCCAGAAGTCTTGGAGGATTCCTGCTGGGTAAGACTGAGATCCAGTTATCTTGTTTACTACATGTTATATCATTACTGAATTTCAAGCATTCAAAGCATACCAAAAACTGTGGGTATAAAAAAGTTGCTCTAATTTTGATATTTTCAATATTTCAGATAAAAGATGGGCGCTGGCACCAGACCCATTTTGTGTTCCACTCCCTAGACCCCACACTCCTCCCTGTGGTTGACATTTACAACCTGCCAAAAGCTAGTCCCAGCTCTCATTACCACCTAGAAGTGAGCCCTGTTTGCTTCCTGTGAGATTGTGTCTTCAGAGCAAAGACGGATGGAACAAGATACATTCGCATAGGTGGAGAATGGCGCAATCTCCAAACCAACCAAACCATGGCCAAACACTGTCCAAGCAAGAAGATGCCACCAACCCCCAAACAGATCCTGCTTCGCTCTGCCAAACTCCCTGGACTGCAAACACAGAGGGAGGAAGCACAGGGACCTCGGGCTGGAGCAGGGGGCAAAGAAGGGCTGAGAAAGAGCAGGGCAGTTCTCGCACTACAACCTTCTTCAGGCTCTTCGAAAAGGATCTTCTCATATACACTTACTTGGAGAAAATAAAGGCGCTATGCCACAAAATCTCTCCAGAACATTTCTAAGTGAAGGGAGACAAAGGCCAAGTTAATCAGTGGACATTATAGTAACTTATTTTTGTATACAGTCTGTATACTGAGCGTACTTTTGGGGGGAAAATACCAGAAATTTATTTCTGCTAGAAGAAAAGAATTAAAGTAATCCGGATTAGTTCAATGTACATATTTATATATATGCTTATAATTAACTTTTATACCTGTATATCATATGTAAATTAATAATAATAGTAATAATAATAATAATAATAATAATAATAATCTTTAAGTGCAATAGAAAACGAGAAGATAATTTGGTGTTTTAAATCTATATGGAAGGATTTGTCAGGGGTGCCTTTTATTTTTTTGCCTTTGGTGCTCATCTTCTCGTGATCCGGCATAGGTGAATCAATCCAGAGGGAGAGTTGTTTGCTTAAATTGAGCAGAAGTCACATTTATATTTGTTTTACTCCATTGGGAGATTTCCCTGATGTGGGAAACACCCAGTGGCACACAGTCAGCCCTCAGTAAATTACATTCAAAGCCACAAGCCAATACCTATCCACAGGGGGTATATTAAATACTTACTGGACCAGATGCCACTGATGATTAGGGAGAATTTAGATGGAGATTAGGGGTCAGGTTTAGGGAGACTATGGAGCTCAGGTTCTCAGTAGTGTTTCTCTAACTGTGGAGTGTCCTTGCTTCTTTATTTATCATTTACAGTAAAAGGTAGGTGTTCTTTTTAAATCAGCATCAGTCATAAACCTCTCCTACCCCACCTGTACAGCAATCTTTAGAGGAGAACTGAGCCACATGAGAGAGTAGTGTGAATACAGGAATCCAAATCAACCTCCATTTCTAAGCCTGTCCTCTCTCTACTGTCTGGTGCTAGGTAAACTGTTTAAGGTGCTAGCCATAGTGCTGTATTTACACCACTGTGCAAAAATATCCCAAATGTTTATAGTGTTTGCATGCTTAAACAAATCAAAAAATATTGCCATAGCTGTATAATGCACTATAATAGCGATATCCCATCTAGCACTACAGAATTCCCTTAAAGTCAGTCATCTGTCATTTATGTAAATGTGTTCAGTGTTGCAATTGTAGGTGTATTAGAGAGCTTATTACTGAAAAAAAAAAAATTCTGCTTTTGCATGCCCGCATAAATCTCAGCATTTGAAGTATTTTTTAAAGCTAAAATTGTTTTCTCTGTACAAAGCCCCTTCTCTCCCACAGCTGTATGTATTAAGTGTAGAGACACACTAGTGGAGATAGTTTTTACTAAATGATAATAATATTAATAAAAAAAACATTTCTTTGATGTAGCTGGACACAAATGTGTATAATTGTGTAAACCTTGCTGTATACAATGGATCCCCTCTTGCTAATTTAATGTTATTTAATGTTGTTAATGTGGTTGCTGACTGAAGCAAGTTTCTGTTGGTTGAAGCAATACTACTCTTTCTGACAACTTTCGAAAAATCAGTTATCCCAACTGGTCTTGGAGTTTATAGATTTGTTTTATGTGTAAATTTGGGACTCCAGAGAACAAATTTATTGCAATGTTAATTCTTTTATTTTTGTAACTTTTTTTTTCTGTTATGTTCCTCTATGATAATCAAACATGTACTGTACCAGGATTGTGCTATACTATCACTTGTGTTTTTAAAGAAATTATGCAAATATGTGAATTTTATTTTCCTTTTCCTTTTGTAAATCTGTTGTAGACATTTCAAGAAGCTAAGAATACCTCACAATTTTACGCAGGACTTGGACAGACGTCTTTTTCTTGCCTTTATAATTCAAATCTGTTTCGGAAATATCAGCCAAATGCAGCAAGTAAGTCCTCCAACTCTGAACAAAACGGTTTCTGTTGCCTTCATCGTTTCTCTGTCTACTCTTTAGTCATTGTTCGGTGTCCATTTGTTAAATAAATACTTTTAATTTGTGTCTGGATTTTTACTTTAACCATTGGCCATAAACTGTGATGCAAAACATATTTTACTTATTTACCAACCTAATAAAGTTTCAAAAATGTGTGGCTTTGACATACAGTAAACAATATCGACACTCTATATCATCAATCTAGGCTTTTCGGGCCACTGGTTGCACAACTTAGCTATAATTAAACACATAGAGTGTTTCGACATTGCAATAGGACTCCAGATGGGTGTAACTTTTTCCACAAGGTGACACCGTGGTGAGTTGATTCATCGCTCACACCTGAGTAGAGACCTTCAGGATCCTAAGTATTGGAACATAGACACCATTTTTGTCATTTTACCTCTGAAAACGATCTTGTCGGCAGTGGCTTCTCTGGACAAATTAAAAAATAACAAACTGATAAATTTTTTTAAAGACTCAAAATTTTCCGAACGGAGAGTAACATAAATCCAAATGTAGGGATTGCTTTTAACCATGATAATCATGGTTTAATCATATTTAATACATCATTTTTTTTTAAAGACCTCTACATCATCAGTGTGTATGTGTTTTGTTTTTAAGAAACCTAAATGAACTGCACAATTATTGATGGCTCAGGGTTTACAGCTTTAATACTTTGATGCAATTAATTTGTAGTCAGTGACCATTTGAAGTCTGGAACTCACTGAGCGCATCACCTCCGTTCCTTGAGGTTTGAGGGAATTTTTCTCTGCACAGGCCCAACCACAGCATTTCTGCCAGGTTGAGCTCTTTGACTGAAACATTGCACCACCTTGATTCTTTTCTTCTTCAGCCAATCTGTTGTAGATTTGCTGCTGTGGCTTGGACCATTGTCCTTTTACATGACCTAATTCCAGACAAGCTTTAGCTGTCAGACAGATGGCCTCACATTTGATTCCAGAATACTTTGCTATACAGAGGAGTTTGTGGTGCACTTAGTGACTCCAAGGTGCCCTGGACCCATCGTAGTCCAAATCATCACCCGT